ATTATATTTCATATTTAAACACAATTTCTTTATTTCTTTTTAATTAAAAAAAACTGGTTGCTCAAATTTGTACATGTTCTGCTAGTGATAGGAGCTTTGGTTTTCTTTTCAAATCAAGAACAGACATAAATTGCAAAAAAAAAGTAGTTTCTAAATAATAAATTAACAAAAAAAATAAACGAAAAGAAAAAGAATAAATTGAGCACATTCTTCTAATCGACTTCAACTTCAATAGCTTGTTCGTAGGTTGCTCGACATTTAGGACAAGTTTTTGTTGATCTAATTTCATAATCAACTTTACATTTCGTACAAAAAATCATATGACCACATGGTATAAGTACACAAGTTGCTTTAGCATCATAACAAATCGTACAACGATCAGAATCATCATCATCAACCTCATTATCTGTTCGATTGTTTGAATTTATATTATGATTTGTTTCAGTTAATCGAACATTTGGTGCAATTAAACCAAATACAGATAGAGCTGTTATACGACCATTTAAAAATAAAAATGGATAAAATGTTTCATTAAGATCAGCAAATGTTAATATACGTGGTTGAGATACTGTATCATTATTACGACATAATAATATTTCACCACTTGTTCTATCAAATAATATTCTATATTCATCTAATTCACTTAGAGTATCATCAAATGGTTCTTCACGTAAAAGCCAATATTCTTTACGATCGACTAATGCTGCTGGATCTATTGCTGGTAAAGTTTCTAGTTTATCAGCAAATTTTGATGGACGAACATTAGTAAAACCAAATATTCCTCTTTTTAAAATAACAAAAAAAAATAAAAAATAAAACATAATTCATAGAACAAAAAAAAAACATAATTACTTACGGTGTTCGATAGTTTGGATCAATAGATAAAATACGTATATAAAGTTCATCACCAGGTGCTAAAGGAAAATTAATAAATAAATAAGGTCGGACTAGTTTTTGAACACCTAATATGTAAAAAAATTAATTTATTTAATTTTCTAAATTTTAAAACTTACGTTTACGTAATGCAACTTTATATTCACAATATAATTCCAATTCAGGACCATGAACATTACTAAATGTAACTGGTTGAAAATTTTCAGATCTTAATTGAGTAAAATAACGAATTGGTAATTTATCTGGTTTTTGAGGATATTTAGCAAATAAAGATTTGCCATCATCAGTAGTTTTAGGTGGAATTGTAAAAGTGACAGCTAGAAAACAAGAAACTATTTGTAATTTGAAAATAATGAGAAATAATAAGAATGAATAATTTTATTCACCATTGAAGTTAACTTATTGATACACATCAAAAAATGAACTGAAAAATACTTTTTTTAAAATTTATTCAGTCAGAATATTCTTTAGATAAGATTAAATTTCTGAACTCTTCCAGTTCAATTGGAATTTACTAAATGCGATTAGAACATATGTTCAGTTATTTGAGTAAAATTTAATAAATTATAAACAATTCATCTCTAAAGATTAATTGAGAATGATACACTTTGCAATTTTCGATTCATGAAAAAGAAAAATGTCTTTTTTTATTTTAATGAAAACAACAATTAGAAATGTCAAATTAAATTTAATATCTAATAAGAGAATATAATTATTTCATTGATTACCTTTCACATTGCCATATATATCAATAACTGCCCATAGAGGTTTTTTGATATCAATATTTCTGGATATGTCTTGTTCTTTTCCATCAAGAATAAAATAAGCTCCACTAAATGAATGAAATAATAATAATAATAATAAAAAAGAAAGTTATTAATCACATACTCGGGATTATAATAAAAAATAATACAAAGTTGTTTTGTTAATGTTTCATAAAGACGTTTTACATAAGAATATTTATTAGTTGTACTAAGACTTGGCAACGCTGATTTAGGTAAATCTTCTTGTCTAATTGTATTTGGATCGACTTGAGTAAATCCTAAAAGAAATGTTTTTTTTGTAAAATTTTTCTTTCTATTTCTATGATCTTATTTTTTTTTTTACCTATAGCTAATGAACCACACCATTGACGAGTTTCATCAACTTCAACAATTCTTAAATGTATACGTTCATTAATATTAACTGGTTTATCTGAAAATGTAATACCTAAAATCGAGAAAAAAAAAGAAATATTAAAAATTAAAACAATCAAAAAAAAACTGAGAATACCATGATCAAAAGATGTATGTCGAACCGCTTTTGATGCATTATTTTCTAATCGTATATTTTGTCCGAATGTTGCATTATGAAAACAAAATGATGGAGTTGTAAGATCATTATTTGTTGTAGCTACTTGTGCCATTATCTAAAATAATAATAAAAACGAAAAAACTTTGGATAATTTAAAAGACACTTTTTCCTATCTCAAATCATTCAAAAGCATCTTATTATGTATGCATGGTTATTATACCCATTCATGTTCATTCTTATATGTGGTGACCTCTAAAATTTATTCAAATAGGCAAATAAAAACTTTTATTTTATATATAAATTAAATTTATTCGATTTTACTTTTTTAATTAATACAAATTTAGTTTCGAACGAATCTGAAGAAATTATCTTTAATTGGATATCAAGTTCTCCAAGCAATCATTTGTGTTTATATAGAATGGTGTAACTTAGTTCCAATACACAACATATATATACAATTTCATTGTGTGAATAGTTTATACTTAACAAAAAAAAAAAACATATCCAAATGTTATTTTATTAACTAGAAATATGTATTTTATTGAAAGTTTATACAAAAGATAAATAACTTAGATAAATATTTAGTAGAATTAAATATCTTCAATTTATCTTTTAGATTTTTTGTTATTTTGAACTATGGCGACAAATGCATTTCAACCAGCCAGTAATTTTTTTTGTATTAATTTAAAGAAAATAAAATTTTCTTTTTTTCTAGTCGGTGGTACTTCCCGAGGTGAAGCAAATCTTAGTGGCATGTCAAAACAATATTCAGCACGAGATATGCCAGCAAATAAAACATTAAAATATCGTGAAAAAGGTCAACATACACAAGAAGAATTACGATCAAAAGATCGTGAAGGTATACGTCGAGAACTTGAAGAACGTGAACGAAATGTTCGTGATAAACAACAATCACAACGATCTTCATCTGATACAAAACGTATTACATCTGGTGGAACAACAAGTAGTCGATCTAAACCTGCAATAACTCATACAGAAACAAATATTGATGCTGAGTATGTAAAAAAATAAACAATTAAATATGAATAAAATTTATTTTTCTTTTAGTGATCCTCTTGATGAATCATCATCAGATGAAGAAGTAACATCACATCATCAATCAAAATTTAATAAGAATATACAACAAAATCGTTCAATAAGTAATGAAGATGATAATGATGATGATGATGACGATGATGATGATGAAGATGATACAGCTGAACTTATGGCTGAATTAGCTCGTATAAAAAAAGAACGTGCAGCTGAAGCAGCACGAGTTGAACAACAAAAACGTTTAGAAGAAGAAAAAATTCGTACAGAAAATATTCTTAAAGGTAATCCATTATTAAATCCAGGACCAAAAGCTTCAACACAACCAGCAAATACTGAATTTCGTGTTAAACGTCGTTGGGATGATGATGTTGTTTTTAAAAATTGTGCTAAAGCTGATGGTTTTTCAGGTGAAAAACGTGTTGCACAATTTGTTAATGATAGTTTACGTAGTGATTTTCATCGACGTTTTATGGATAAATATATTAAATAAACATTTATTATTTTCTTCTTTTTTTTTTGTCGTTGTATATTAATAACAAAATCAAATTTCTTCGATATGATTGTGTTTCTTTCTTGTTCTAGATGGAAAAAATTGAAGATGATATCAATATAAATGAATGTAAGATGAATGAACTTTTACCAACATTATTTCGTCTTCAATCTCAACGTTGTCTAACTTATCAACGTCTTTATGATGCACAATTAATGTTTTTAAATACACATAATTTTCCAGCATTTCAAACTTTTCTTTCTGATATAACAGTTATATTTGGAAGAATATCAGAAGAAATCTTACTTATAAAAAAACGTCTGGAAAATAATAAAAATATTTTTAAACATATAGAACAATTACAAGGTTATGAACAACAAAAACTTCAATTAACAAATGATTTATTTGTTGCAAAAATTGAAAAGAAAAATGAACAATTCGAAGAAATTAATCAAAAATTAATTAAACTTATTGATAATATTAATGAAATTTTAGAAGAATTACGTTATGATCAAGAAGAATTTACTGCAATAGAAACTTAAAAGAAAAAGAAAATTTTTATTTTTGTTTTTGTTTTTTTTTAGATTATGATAAAAGAATCTGACAATAAATCATGTCAGATAATATACAAGAAAAGGTAATTACATTTTTATATAATTTTCAAAAATTCTTCAGACGATTTTCATTAAAATTTGAGTTGTATTTGAAGTAGTTAATTTTCAATTAATTTATATTATTGTAACAATCATATAAAGGAATTAATTGTCCGTCTGAAATGCTATAATAATAAGTTCATAGAAGACAGACAGACAAGATTAGGAACTTCATTCCGGTTACTAAAATTCTTAGAACTACTAATTATTTTTTATATGTAGTATTTGACACTCAATAAATTCACTACATTTCTTTCATGATAAAGAATTTATCAAAAACTGTCCCTATTAACTGTGGAGATAATTTACTTTTTAAAAAGTTCTAATTAGAAAAAAACGTAACTTACTTATCTTTCTGTTTATGTAAATTCAATTATTTTTGATCTTATCTAAAAGATAATGATTGTTTGGGAAATATTAAGTGCGCGAGTTCTTTCAGATCTGAACGTAGGTGATCCAACCTTTTATTTTTTGTGGATCTGCTGATTTCCAGATGAGAAATACTGCAACAAGATATAACTGTATGTCGAGTTTTTTTCTTTTCTGAGAATAGCAAATAAATAGTTAAAACCCGAATTCTTTACTTGTTCATCGTCACGAAGAATGTTAGTTATTATTGGAAAAAAATCACGGATTTGAATCTGACCGAGTCCATGTTTTCATGGATCTGTAGCTCCCTAATTGACAATGTGTTATCCAGCATCGGAATGTAATGGTCTTACACGAGCAGTTATGTACTGGTCTAAACATGTACGTATAGGCTAACGGTGACTACATGATAAAATTATGGTGGTCTTGAATTGATTTCGATTGGAGAGGCTATTTTAAGAAAAAGGCTGAATTTTATATCTGTTTTCACGTTTCAGTCATATTTTATAAAATTCAACTATTTCAAAATAGACCTTCGCAACTGAAAAAGTTGGCATGAATCTAAGATCACTGTAGTTTTATCATGTGTTCATAGTTGTTCTACACATTCATATCTAGACCAATGCATCGATGATCACTGTCATCGTTGCCTATCTAATCCAGCGTGAGGGAATAATCATGTCTGAGAATCTAAATAAAACATTGATTTCAACTAGTCAAAATGAACTACTTCGAATTTTTATCGATTGATTACATTTACAATTCAATCTTCGACGAAAATCATTTGCAAAAATTTTGTTCATATTTGTATTCAAAATGATTGTTAAATGTAATTATTTATTTATTTTTTAAAGATTGTTGATCTACTTAATCAAGCATTACTTTATGGAAAAGATAGTATCCGAGTTCAACATCTTCGACATATACAAGAACTTATTTTACGAAAAGATCCGAGTTTACTTAATCATTTTCTTGAAGTATATATTAAAAATAACAAAAGAAAATTTTTAACGATTTATTTTTCTTATTATTTAGGAAGTATTAAATTTTCAAACAGATAAAAGTTCAGAAGTAAAAAAAACAATAATATCATTTATTGAAGAAGTTTGGTTAGTTAAAATAAAATTATTTTATTCATTATAGAAATTTAATTTTTATTATTTTTTAGTCAATATGATTCAAAACTTATTATTAAAGTAATTGATAGTCTTCATTTGTTACTTAATGATGAGAATATATTTGTACAAAAAAAACTTATTCTTAGTATGATTTCAATTTATCAATCGACTTTAACAGTAAGAATAAATTTAAATTTCTTAATGATATATCATTCTTCTATTTTAGTGGTTAGTAAAATGTCAATTAATCGATGAAAATATACATAATATGTGGCAATGTATGACTAATATAAAAAATCAAATTATATCTATGCTTAATTTAGATGATGATCGGTTAGTTATTTGAATATTTTTTATTTTTTAAATAATTTATTTTATATAAACATTTTTTTTTTTAGACTTTGTACAGTAGTTATTAAATTTATTGAAATGTTAGCACTTACTTTATCACGATATGAAAAAGATTTTTCAACAAATTTATTACAAAATGATCATAAAATTTTATCACGAATTAAATTAGAACAAGAAGAAAAAGAAATGATAGAAAAATTACTTGAATTTATTATTTCTCAAAATATATCTAGGTATAATGAATTATTTCCTTTTTATTTTCATTAATTCATTATTTCAGTGTCAATTTAATTGCAGCTATCGAAGCCATAACTAATATTGTTCGACAAAGATCAAACTATATAAATCGAATTATACAAACATTTGAAGTATTAAATGGTAATTATTTATTTAATAGTTTAATCTTTTTTTTTATTTTCTAATATTTGAAAATATTTAAGTTAATTTATCTTCAATTTTCATTGATTCTCAAGTTACTAATTTACGTAATATAATCAAATTAAAATTACTTAATCTTCTCAAATATTCAATTTCATATAATATACAATCACAAATTACAACTTTACTTATTGATCTTGGTGCTACACAAGAAGAGGTATAGTTTGTATTCTTTTGTTTTTTTTTTTTTATTAAATTCTTTATCATAGATTCTTAAATATTTACCTAAAGTAATAACAGAATCAAAACGAAAGTTAATTTCAAATACAAATAAAAATATTAAAAAAATGAAAAATATTAATGTATGTCAACTATATGATTTTTTGTTTTTCTTATATTAATTTTTGTTCTCATGATTAATAGGATGATATAAATAATTCAAATATACAATCTCATCTTCAACATGATAAACTAATTGATTTAACAATTGCTGATCTTATGACAAAATTATCTATTGAAAATGTTGTTGATTTAGTCATTGTATCAATGCATTTATTACCAGAAAAAATACCACCGTCATTTCAATCAAGTTATACGCCTATAGTAGAAGCTGGTACTCCAATTCAAATTGAACATTTAGCTCGTTTACTTTGTGCACAATTAACGGCAGCTGGTTATCAACCTATAACATCTAAGCAAGTAATAACAACAAAACCAAAACAAGCTATTAGCATAATTCCTATGGAATTGAAATGTGAAAGACGATATAGCTTTTATTCGTACCCTTGATGAGAGAATTGCCAATAGAGCCGATCGGGTTCGATCCGAAGATTTTGAACTCGATAGGCTTTACCCTATATATTTCTTAGACGACTTCTTTGAGAAATGTATAGGGTGCACTAATCACCAAACACAATAAACCGCAAAAAAACCTATGTCATATCTTCGGAACGTCTATTCTATCTCGATTAGAAAATTTCATTGAAAGTATCAAAGTACGGTTCGATCGGATCAAAAGTTTTGAACCCGAGCTCTAATTGCCACGGTCTGTGATGGGAGGGTGAGGGCAAGTTTGTACCCTATATACTTCAATACTCCTTTTTGGACCATGTTTCACAAAAACTATTATATTAAAATTTTATTTTAGTATGTTAAACCACATATGGATAATAACATTGTAGAAGAAAAAGTTACATCGAATGTAACCGATGTTCAAAATGATGATCCATTATTTGTAATCTCGTCTGGTTTTGATAGTAAAACACATTTAACATCGACTAAAGCAATTTTATCAACATCTACAGACGTGATAAAGATTCCAAATATTCAACAGAAAAAAATGAAATCATTTAAATTATCTAATACAATTAAATCATTTGAATATGATGAAATGCAACGTATGTCACTTGATTCATTTCATCGAATGCTACATGCTGAAGGTTTGTTCTTGTTTATAATATATCGATCTAATTATTTCAAATTAGATATCTGTGAAAGAGCTCATGTTGAACATATACGACAAAAAATGATGACTTCATTAGTTTGTTTATTCGAAGGAAGTTTTCATAATAGTAAGATTTATATAATTTGGTTTTCTTTTTTAATCTCAATTAAATAAATTTTAATATTAGTTTATGAAGATTATATTTTTGCTGATGTATATAAACGATATGATCTTGTATTTGCATGGATTTATCAAGAATATGTTTATGCTAATGGCTATTTAATATCGAATAAAAAAAAAGATTTTATCAAATATGATAATATATTATGTCGATTACTTGAATGTTTACAAGAAAAATGTGATGAGTAAATAATATATGAATAATTCTATGATTTTTTTGTTTGAAAATAATCTTTTTTTGCTTAGTCTATTTTCTCGTTTATTTATAAGTGCACCATTAATTACAGATAATGCTTTATTTATACTCAAACAATATTGTCAAGATGAAGTAAAAGAAACTGTTGTTTTTTTTTTTTTTTTTTTGAAATAAAATTAATCTTTATTTCATTAAAGAATCATTCGAATCTGGGCATGAATATATTATATAAATTTATTTGTCGTCGAATAATAATACGTGAAAAATGTTTGGATATATTACTTAATTTTACTCATAATGAAAATATTTTTATTAGAAATAATGCTATATATATTATAAAAAATTTACATGAAAAAAAAGAATTTCAACAAATAATCGAAGTAAAATTTAGTTCTTTTTGTTTTTTTAAATAATAGAATTGCATTTAAATATTCTTGTTTAGGAATATGCATTGAAGTGTTTAACATATTTACGAACTTTACGACCACCAGAAACACTATTTTGTGATAATAAAAAATCATTAACAAGTGAGAAATAATTTTAAGAGTCACCTCCTTTCTTTCGTGATCTCAACTTGTGACCATTGTATAGTCTAAAGTGGAATCTATCTACTGAGTACATCTTGAAATTTAAAAAATTGTCTTTAAATGTTATTAAAATCAAATTTATGTAATGAAAATAGCGAAAATTGTAGATTGTTTCGCATTTTTTCTCAAACCAACTTTTTCATAAAAATGCAGAAACATCTCCGTTTCTTCAACTTAGTACGTCTGATTGAGCTGAAACTTTTCTTACATATACTATACACTGTTTAAGATTTGCATTTTTTTCTTTTTTGGTTTCAAAAAATATTCTTTGGCTGATTTTTAGTAGCTCTTAAAAAAGATTCGAAGAACGAAAAAATAAAAGGAAACTCATTCCAAACAGTGTCTGTAAAAAATGTTCAGTTCGATCGGACATAGTATTTCGAAGAAATATGAACAAAAATTGAGGCCATTGAGATTCCCTGTATTTCATAGAAGACAGCATTCGAAAGCTTTGAGTCTATGATAAATTTTGCTCTAGTCGTCAAGATCTACCTGCTCTGAAAATTTAAAATTTTTTCTGATAAATCATTCTTCAGAAATGTCGGTATCCTTAAAATTCATATTTGAAATTTATTTTTTGTTTTTTATTCAGTATCAAGAGATGTTTGGACAGAAGATTCTATTCATCTTTGTCTTTCATTATATCTTAGTTTAATCTCATCGAATCATTATTTAATTCAACCGTAAGATTTTTCTTTTTTAATATTCAATCTTCTTTAGTTTTGTTGTTCTTTATAGATTAGCAACTATTTATACCGTAGTTGATAAAGATATTAAACGAGTAATTCTTCAGATTTTAGAAATTCCAGTAAGTTTTTCCTTTGTATTTCAATTATTGATGAATTTATAAGTATTTTACACAGATACGTGAAATGGGCATGACTAGTCCAGAACTATTAAAACTCATTAGAAATTGTCCTCAGAATGCAGAAGGATTGATTACACGTATTATTCATATTCTTACTCAACAAAGTAAGTTTAATGAATCTTTTCCTTATTCTTGTTTATTTTTTCATGTATCTTTTTTTTCTATTAGTGCCACCATCACATGAAATCGTTGAAAAAATACGAGATTTATATCATAAACGTATATCAGATGTTCGTTTACTTATTCCAGTACTGACTGGCTTAGAAAAAGTATGTTTTATTAGAATAATAAACATTTTAAGTTAAACATAATTTTCTAGAGTGAAATTATAAATGCATTACCAAAATTCATAAAATTATCACCACCAGTGGTTAAAGAAGTTTTTAATCGACTTTTGGGTTTGAATGGTATGTTGTTATCATGTATAGAATATGAACAATAAGGAAGTGTAGTATTGGAGATTGAATATTGTGAGAAATTCCAGAAACAAAAGAATAAAATCTCATTCAAATGAGTTGCATTCAGAATTGTATGGGTTGTTGTAATAGACTAATGTGATAGAACTTCTAATATTGTTTTCTCAACAAATGTAATTTTTGTTTTTGCTAGACTCATCTCGAACCTCATACACAAGTTTAATATTACCATCAGAATTATTAATTGCTCTTCATCAAATTTCACTTGAAGAATGTGAATTAAAAACAATAATAAATGGTAGAATTATTCATATGTTTTTATTTTTCATCTGATCCATACTTTTCTTTTTATAGCCACATCAATATGTTTTAATGAGCGTTCAATTTATACTTATGATATTCTTGCTATTGTTCTACAACAACTTGTTGAAATGACTCCAATTCCTATTTTATTTATGCGAACTGTTTTACAAACATTTAGTCTTTATCCAAAAATGATTGATTTTATTATGAATATTTTACAACGATTGATAACAAAACAAGTAAATTTTCTTATGAAGTTGACCATATGGTTTTTAATCACTTAGAATCGTTCTTCTAAAATATGAAAATATTTACCGAGATTGGTGAAAACTTGAAGAGTGTACGTTTGAAATCTGTTCTTTAGAGTTCGATTTCATTTGGGGACCTATTAAAATACAAACTACAGTAATTAAGAATTGACAGCTGTCTTATAAGGTCATCATGACTCAATCTCCGAATGACAAATGATATTTCAAAGACTTTCTACACATAAAATTTTATTTATATCGTCCATAACTTAAATTCATTATGATTTTCTTTACGTAATCGTCAGACTTAGCAGTAGCAGACGTTGTATAAGATCGTGTTCTTCTATTTTCGTACTCGTACGGTGAACCGATTTTTCTATTCTGGCTTTACATTCGAATGACAATTGAGTTTAAATGATATATATATCATCTAAAATGTATTTTAGGCATGGAAACAAACTCGAATATGGGAAGGTTTTATAAAATGTTGTGAACAAACTCGACCACATTCATTTCCAATACTTCTTCAATTACCACCTTCACAACTTAAACATATCTTGCAAATAAAATCAGAACTACGTGATGGTCTTGTCCGTTATTTACGTTCTATGTCAATTGCTCAAGTAATTTTTAATATAATTTTATTTCTTTAAATAAAATATTTTCTTTTAGCGTTCATCAATTCCATCATCTATATTAATAGTAATTGAAGATGATGTAGAAAATATTGCACCTATTTCATCATCTAATCCAGTATAATGGACAATAGTCAAAACAGATATTTTTGTGTTTATTAACTAAATGATATCGATTAGTCAGTTATAAATCGTTTTTTTTTATTTTATTTTATAAATGTTATCATCATGATAATAAATGTTTTGTTAAAATGAAAGAAACGAATTTATTTTGTCAGATACTTCAAATATTCCATAAATGATCTATGTTTTTGTTTTTCAGATTATAAAATTCAATAAACAGATAAACAATCAATTATGTCAGCTATTACAACATTAAATCCAAAAGCTGAAAGTGCTCGACAAGCTCAAGCATTAGCAATTAATATTTCAGCTGCTCGTGGTCTTGCTGAAATGCTTAAAACTAATTTAGGTCCAAAAGGAACAATGAAAATGTATGTACAATTACATCTTTTTTTTTTTAATCATTTTTCATTTATTAATATTTCAGGCTTGTATCAGGTGCTGGTGATATCAAAATAACAAAAGATGGTAACACACTTCTTCATGAAATGGTTTGTCTTAACTTTTTTTTTGTGTATATATTCGATTGATAAGTTTGATATATATATATATAGCAAGTTCAACATCCAACTGCATCTTTAATTGCTCGTGCAGCTACAGCACAAGATGATATAACTGGTGATGGTACAACTTCAATTGTATTATTAATTGGTGAACTTCTTAAACAAGCTGATCTTTATATTTCCGAGGTAATTAAAAAAAACAAATAAACAAGAGTAATAAATTTATTTCATTTATCTTAATAGGGTCTTCATCCACGTATTGTTGCAGAAGGTTTTGAATTAGCAAAAAAAGAAGCATTACAAATACTTGATACACTTAAAATATCTATAAAACAAGATCGTGAAACACTTATTCAAATAGCTCGTACTTCATTACGTACAAAATTAACAATGGAAAATGCTGATATTCTTACTGATGTTCGTATTCATTCTTTTAATTGTATTCATACGTTTCTTTTTCTTTTTTTATTTCATATGTAGATTGTTGTTGATGCTATATTAGCTATCAATGAAGTAGGTAAACCAACTGATTTAAATATGGTTGAAATTATGGAAATGCAACATCGAACAGAAGCTGATTCACGTCTTGTACGTGGAATTGTTCTTGATCATGGTGGTCGTCATCCATCAATGCCTAAAGCACTTAAGAATGCTTATATTTTAACTTGTAATATTTCACTTGAATATGAAAAACCGTAAATAATTTCTTTTATTAAAATAATTCGTTGAAATTTTTCTTTTAATTTTAGAGAAGTTAATGCTGGTTTCTTTTATAAAAATACTGAAGAACGCGATCGTCTTGTTTCATCAGAACGTAAATTTATTGATGATCGTGTAGAAAAAATAGTTGAACTTAAACGAAAAGTTTGTTCGGGTGATGATAAAGATAAAACATTTGTTATTATCAATCAAAAAGGCATTGATCCATTATCACTTGATGTTTTGGCTAAAGAAGGAATTTTAGCATTGAGACGTGCTAAACGTCGAAATATGGAACGATTAACTTTAGCATGTGGTGGTGAAGCTATGAAGTAAGTAATATAAAATATTACAAAATGATAATGAATAAATTTTTATGAATTAGTTCGGTTGAAAATCTTACAAAAGAATGTCTTGGTTTTGCTGAAGATGTTTATGAACATGTTTTGGTTTGTTTTATTATTTTCATTGATTTAATTAATTTACATTTTGTTTTTTTAGGGTGAAGAAAAATTTACATTTGTTGAAGGTTGTAAAAATCCGAAATCAGTAACTGTTCTACTTAAAGGTTCAACTAAATATATATTAAATCAACTTAAAGATGCACTTCGTGATGGTCTTCGTTCAGTAACTAATGCAATTGAAGATGGTTAGTTTTTATTTAAATAATTTTTGTAATTGATATTAAGAATTATTATTATTATTATTTTTTTTTTTTTGATTTAGGTTGTGTTATACCTGGTGGTGGTGCTTTTGAAATAGTTGCTCATCAAGCACTTACACAATATAAACAACAAGTTAAAGGACGAGCACGCTTAGGTGTTCAAGCATTTGCTGAAGCATTATTAATTATTCCGAAAGCTATTGCTCAAAATGCAGGACATGATCAACAAGAAACAATTGTTAAACTTCAACATGAATATGTAACATCAAAAATACCAGTAGGTATTGATATTACAACAGGTATGTATAATATATTTGAATAATAAGAATAATATAAAAACAAAATATTAAAAATTTTTATTTTTATTTTTTCAGGTGAAGCTATGGAACCAAAATCATTAGGTATTTATGATAATTATCGTGTTAAAAAACAATTAATACATTCAAGTACATCAATTGCAACAAATTTAATTCTTGTTGATGAAATTCTTCGTGCTGGTTTATCATCATTACGTCCTGGTGGACAATAATCTCTTTATTGAACTATTTTATCTAGTGACATGTGTGTTTGTAGTTTGACATAGGAGAATTTGAAAACAGCGTGTGTTTTTTTTTTTTGGTCTAAGATCTTACTTTCATACATACACACAAAAAAAAAGCAACAGAACAACTTCCACAACTTGTTTTTTTTTTTTGTTCTTTCTTACCCCGTTGTTGTGTTTATCTTGTTATCCGTGTGTTTTTTTAAAATGACGTTTGAGATACACAAACGGCAAGTTTAATTATTGATTTAATTTTTTTTCGTATCTGCTAATCTATAACTGAGAACAGTAGACACGTGTGCATCCGATGCACGTATTGACCTATCGGATATACTTTTTAACTCTAACCAATACGATGATATATATCTTGTCGCGATCCATTAATGTATAAGTACGAATGAAAGAAAACAAAAGATATGCACTATAATCGAAATTTTAAATAGTTCGATATTTTTAATTCATTTATTGTAAAGATGTCATCGATCGATTTTACACTATTTGCACCTACCATTGCTGAAGCTACTTTAATCGGTTCATTTTCTCAATGGAAACAGATTCCTATGTCTTTTGAACACGGAACATTTCATTGTTCAATAGAAATTTCTAATGGTGAACATGAATATAAATTTCGTATTCGACATCATAATGAAGATAAATGGATAGATGTTGTTGATCCCTATGTTACTAAATATAATTCAATAAAAAATACAGGTATAATAACTATAAAAAATGGAAAAAAAATCTTAGATGAATATGTATGGAAATATGATGATGTTAAATTATTAGATAATAAAGATTTAATTATATATGAAATGTATATTGCTGATTTTGCTGATAATGGACAATTTTCTGGAGTTATTGAAAAATTAGATTATATTAATGATTTAGGTTTTAATGCTATTGAATTATTACCAATTCAAGGTAAGATTCTTTTTGTTAAATTAAGCTTAAAAAACAAAAATTTGTCTTTTGACTATAGAATCAATGGGTATAAATCATGAGTGGGGTTATTTGCCAAGACATTTTCTTGCATTAAAAACCACTTATGGTCCAAGTACAGATTTTAAAAAACTTATTGATGAATGTCATCGACGAAAAATTCGAGTTATTATTGATGCAGTATTTAATCATACGGCTACAGATTGTCCTCTAGCAATAATTGATCATGATTATTGGGTAAATTATTTTATTTTATTTTATTTTATTTAAATTTATAGATTTATTTTAGTATTACAAAGGAAAACATCATCCAGAACGTATGTAGAAATACTCTCTATATATATGTATTCTCTTTTGACATATATTTATATAGATCCATTTTATTGGGGTCCTGAACTTAATTATGAATATTATGATGAACAACAGAACTTAAAACCAGCATTCAAATTTGCAACTGATGTTGTACGTTATTGGATAGATGAATTTCATTTAGATGGTATTCGTTTTGATGCTGGTAAAATATAATCAATATTTTGTTTTTTTTTTCTATTTTCTTCTTAATTTGATTTTTTTTTTCAGCTAAAGAAATGGATAATTATGATATTCTTCGTGAATTAGATAATGTTGCTCGTTCTGTTCGTGGTTCTCAACCATTTTATACTGCTGCTGAATATGTTCCAGAAAATTTGACAATTGTTAAAGTAAATGGTGGTCCTGTTGATGCATGTTGGTCATCATCATTTCATGGTGTTATTGCTAATAATCTAGTAGATAAAAATAAATTTGAACTTGATCTTATTAAATATATAATAAGTACACCTGATTTAATTAATTATTTATCATGTCATGATAATGAACGTTTACTTTTTCTACTTGGTAAAGATGGACATTTATTTGATGATAATGCTTTTATATGTATGCGACTTGCTATGATTATTCTTTTTACTTCTGTTGGTGTACCTTTTATTTTTCAAGGAGATGAATTAGGTGATGCAAGAGAATGGGGTAGTAAAGATCAACATAGAAAAAAATTTCCTATGCAATGGAATTTATTAAAAAATGATCGAAATCATTCTTTATTTAATACATATAAACAACTTATAGAATTAAGAAAAAAACGTGAAGAACTAAAAGAAAAAGTTGTAAATTTTATACATGAAAATCAGAATGATTATGTTCTTGTTTATGCAAGAAGTCAAGAATTAATTGTTATAACATATTTTTTTCCTGAAGAAAAAAAAGATTATGAAATTAATAATATACCTCAAAATGGAAAATGGATTGATTGGTTATCAAAAAATGAATATCAAGTTGATAATAATATATTAAAAACAAACTTAGGACCATTTGATGGAAGAGTTCTTATTTTACAAAAATAGTCTTTTCTGATTTTGTATATTTCTTCTTCATATTGTTATCATTTAACATCTAAACAGTGTATTATAACAGTGAACTCTATATAAGTTTTCGTTATTATATAAATAAAATATTATATCTCAAAAATAGTGTATGTGTATAATTTAGCTGATGCTACATTGAATGTAATAATTAATTGATTCTCAATTATCAAAATGTATTATATTTCGTTGAATAGAGAGAATGTTAGTAATAGCAAGTGTTATAATAATTGATAAATCTTTTAGTGATTAAAGTATTTCTTTCTAATAACTTAAGCCGACTGTGTACGCCATCTGTTCAATGAATAAATTTTAAATTCAAAAGTGTATGTATGATAATTTCATTGAAAAATCTTATAAATTAACAACTCAATTATAGAAAGTGGAAATGTTTATTTTTTGTTTTGTTTTAAATCATAAACGTTGTTAATGATCACTAGGTGAACAGATAATGTTTCTATCCTGTTGTTGCTTAGTTTCCATTTCACGATTCTGTCAAAATGATGGAAGCAGTGAACAACTGGCATGATCGTGTTATCCAAAGTTCGTTTGGTGTACCACATCCAGCTGAAATCGATGCACAAAAACCACTTGTAGATGCCAAAGATACTGGTAGCAATATTGTTCCATTTCGAATTTTAATTAAATCACTTGAAATTTTACCATCATCAGTTTCTTCTGTATGTTTTCTATGATGAGTGACTTTTCTTAATTGAGTTTTTTTTTTTATCTTTAGTCACTTGCTACTCCATATGAAGTGCAATTTACTGCAACATTATTTGATAATTTGTATAAACGATTCTATGGTCAAACATGGTTTAGTGCTTGGCACAGAGGCAAAGTTGCTACAGATGGATTTTTTCGAGTCAATCTTAATGAAGTAAATTATAATTTATTCTTTGATATGTAATACAGAGATTCTTCCCGTTTTTTTTACTTTTTATCAGCCATTGTATTGTCATATACCATTGAAAAATGATCAAAATTGTTTGATTGTTCAATCGATATTTCGTAGTGGAGAACAATCAGAAGATCGACTTGAACTTGTAGGTGGTTGGACAATCATTAAATTACAACCATGGACTGAAGATGATGATATTACTAAAGCAATAAGTAATCGGTAATAATACTATCAAATTTTATACTATATGAAAATATATATATATATACTAATATGGTTTGTTTTCAGTCAACCACTTTATCATGGTTCACCTCGTGCTCTTATGTTTCTTCATGAACCATTTGAAAGTATGTTTAAATTATTCAAAAAATTTTGTTAAAAAATCGAAAGCTTTTTTTTTAATATTTCCTATAGCATGTCAAAAAGTTTCACAAGTTCCATCTGCTGGTTTATTTGTTGAAATAAAATATCATGAACCTCTTTTTTCTGTAATACAATATTTATCTGAATGTACTCTTTATGGACGAAATGTTAATATTGGTGGTATTCATTATTCTGGTGATCTAAGTTTTTTTTTTTTAAATCTATTATTATATATATATATATATATGATTAGATGAAGATACATTAAGAAAACCTGTTTTACAAGCAAATCGAAAAAATATTCTTATTGAACAAGTTGAAATTGATGTGGAACCATCAATAACTTTCTTTGAAGAAGAACTTTGTCGATTAATTCATAAAGATCAAATGGAAAAGAAAAAAATGTCACATACTACAGTATCAGCATTAGTTCAAGAAACACAGAGTAAAATTTCTATTGTTGAACGACGTTTACGTGTAAGATGTTTTTTGTGAAATTTTTTTTGAAATAGAAAATTTTTTATTTTTTTTTATTTAGGTGGGTATACATAATGGACAATGTTATGTTCAAGATCCACTTGTTTTTTATCTTACAGCTGAACAAGAAGATACTGGAATGTCATTATTATCAAGAAAATTAAGTTTTAAACAAACACAACGACGAAGAACTGTATCTGCTGAAAGGTTTTTTGCAATACTAAATTATTTTTTTGATTTTATAAAAATTAAATAAAATTTGTAATTATATTAGTAGGATGGATGATCGAAAAAAACTCTATTTAAGAAATCCAATTCGACTTGATGATGTTCCTATTGATGATTTAAATGCTATTATATTTGTTCTTGAATATATGGTTTCTATACCATTAAGTGTACCTTCAAAATCGGTATCTAATTATTAAATTTATTTTTAATCATGAAATATTTTTTGTAAATTTATTTAGAATGAACCTACTGAAAATACAAAAGTAACATTTATTATTCGTTGGTCAGCTTGGTTTCCAGGTAAAGATAAACAAGTTGCTTTAATTATGTCTGGTGGTGAAATATTATCAAGTGATGAACTTTTCGTATATAAACCATCAACAACTATTTTACTTAATACACCTGATATTGTTCAAGAAACATTACGATTTAATTATAGATTTGATACTGAAGTAAATACATATTTAAAAAACAAAAAAAAATATTTTTTAAATTCAATTTTTAAATAATAGCCTCCAATGCGATATCCAACAGTTACAGTAAAACCAGACATTTTAACACCTTTTCAAAGGTAATCTATTTTCTACAATTGAATTATATTTTTATATATATGTATTAATTTTTTTTTAGATCATTAATTCCAACTGATGCTAGTACAAAAACACCAATCGATTATGATCTTTTACAACGAACATGTAATATAGAAAAAAAACACAAATTTTTCATATATGACTAGTTACAATTTACTATTTTCAGCGGTACCACCTCACACAATTCCTTCAGCTATACAACCACCTATCTATCATCAAGCTGTAAATAATATAATAAAAAAAAATGATAATTTTCTAATATTTGTTTTTTGATTGATATTCTATAGAATCTAGTGCCGTGGCAAGCAGATGGAATCTATCCAGCATATTCACCAATGTCTGCTTTAGCTAGTCAAATGACTTTGTAAATAAATTCATATATATATATATATATTGAATTTTTGATAATAAATTTTATTTAGTGCTCATACATTATCACGTGCTGCTTATTCACGACTTCAAGGTCAAGGTTTTCAAACGATTAAAACAGTTAATGATAAAGAAGCTGAAGTTATTGATATAAGACAAGCTCGTTTTCTTGATATACAAACAGAAATGGCTGATCCAATGAATTGTAATGAAATTAATTTACATTTTCTATCTTATTTTAAGTATATATTTTTTCTTTGAACTATTATTTGTTTTTGTTTTTATGTTCTAAATTAATATTTAAATTAAGAATGATTCGAGCTGGCATGTCATCAAAATCAACTTATCCAAAAAGTATTTTTTTTACTTTTAAATTTTTTCGTTTTCTTGAAACGACAACAAGCAGGTTTGAAAATTTTCAATATATTAATAATTCGACAAAAAAAAAAAAGAAAATTTATATTTTAATAGAGTCATGCTCGAACGTATGCATGATAATATTTCAAATGATCCAAATGTTGAACCATACATTCTATGGCGTTTAAAAGATGATAGTACGAAAACATCAGGTTTACCTGGATTACCTGTATATATTGAAAATATTTTTGTTTTTGTTTTTTTTTTTAACTATGAATATTGATTTAAATAGGTTAAATTCAAAGTTGATGGTGGTTTTCTTGGTTCTGTTGAACAACGACAATTTTTTGAATATCTCAATACTCATACACTTTATATTGAAGTTTGGGATGGTGATGGACTTTTTCCTGTTGGAATGTGTGCACTTGAACTAAGAGTATGTGATATTGAATTTAAAATTGAATTAGAAAAAAAAACAATTGGTTATTTAGTATTTACTTCGTGATGGCCGTCCAGGTATACAAGCATTAGTTGAACTTGATGTATTTGCAACTGTACCAATCGAAGGTAATGAACCACCTGCTGTGGAAAATCAATATTATCAAGTATGTATATTATATATATATATACATATTCTTATTTAATAATTATTTAATAGTCGAGTGATCAACAATTTTCATTGATCGGTGAAAAATTAAAAACTGTTGGTAAATTAATAATGCGTATTGGAAATGTTGGATCAGTTGGATCGGAACACACTTCAATTGAAAAACTTAAAAGTAAATAAATTTTTCTAGATATTATTTATATTACATATTTTTTTTTAAATATTTCATAGATTCTGATGCTATACGATTATTACCAACAAGTCGAATAGTATCATCAATACCACCATTTGATATTGTTCAACCACGTGCTGGTGAAATAACACCAACAGGTGTTAAAGAATATCGTTTAACACGTGCACATCCTATTGTTGCTTTAAATCCGAATATAAATTCTGTATTACATAGTTCGGTAATAATATTATATTTCATTTGTCTTTTTTTTTGTTCTATTCATATTCAATTTCATTATTATAAATTAATTCTAGGATAAACAAGCACAAGAATCTGAACGTCAACGAAAATTATCACGAATGGAAGCTGTACGTAAACGTGCAGCTGAAACAAATAATGATGATATATCAGCATCATTACCAATAACAAATCGTCAAGTTCGTGAATTACGTGAAAATGATCTGCGTACAATATCAATGTATCGTCAGCAATCAAAACATGAAGATATTGCTCATCATTTAATGAATTTTATTACACGAGAAATAAATATACGTTTAATGCCTGGTTATGTAGAATTTTTTGAATATATTCTTCAAAATCCATATCCAGAACAACATTCTATTAGTATTGCATGTAATGATGATGAATTAAGGTATTAGAATTATTTCGTCTTCTTTTTTTTTTTTTTTTTTATCATTTTAAACAAATATTATTTTATTAGTGTTGTTACTGATGCTCGTGAATGGCGTCGTTTAAAAACTTTATTTGAAGTTTTTTCTGATACAGAAGAAAATATGTTTACAAATCAAACAGGAATTATTGATCAAAGTGGTTTAAAATATCCTCAAATATTTATGCGATCTAAAGAATCAGTACATATACCATTTAAATTACAAACATTTCTTGCAAAATTACCAATAACAGAACATAAAACATCATCAAATCCATTTTCACAAGATCAAACATATGCAGTTGTAGAAAAAAGTTATAATGAAAAAATTAAATCAAAACAAATTAAAGTTTGTTTCGTTTTATATTTTATAAAGAATAATTCATTGTATGAAATAGAATTTAAAAAGAAAAAAACTGATATAAAGATTGAAAATTTTCGAATTAGTCTCATAGATTAGAATTTTTATGAAATACAATTATAGATTTAGTGAAAAAAACGTCAAATGCAGGGAGAGAAGAAGTATCTCTTCAGATTACTTAATATCAACTGTGTTATTTGTTATTGTTTTTCAATTGATTAGCACAGTTTTCTAGGTTTAATAATCATTCTTCCTTAAGAAAGTAAACTCAATAGTTCGGTATGACTATAATAATAGAAAGTGTACTTTCACTTTTGTCTTGAACAATGTGCGATTTGAATAATTTCAATTGTAATATGTAATAAAAGGAAACAATGAGAGTACTGTATTTATCATTGTGAACTATTTAATTTACTTGTTTAATACCTGATGAGATACTGAATAGAATTACTTTTTTTTCTGTTCTCTAAATTTTAGGCAATATTTCAAGCAGAAGATGGTACACCAATAGGTATTTTATGTATTAATGTTGAATATATATCACCTATTATTGATCAAACAATTCGTTGTATTAATGGAGAAAATACATTATTAAAACGAGTATTTCGTATACCAAATCCACGTCGAGCAGTTACAACAGGTTCTTTTTATCTCTCGAGTATTTTAATAATCAAATGATTATTTGTTTCTTTTTATTCTATTCAGAATCGCTTACAAGTGGTTTACCTGAACAAGTTCATCAAGTATTTGTTCGTGCAAGTGACTTAAATATTGTTTGTGAAGTTAAACCTGTATCTATTAATCAACCATGTGACATGTTAATTAAAGTATTTGAAACTTTAGTTTTTATATTTTTTTTTTGAATTAATAAAAAAAGTAATTTATCCTAGGCTGCAACTCATAATGCACCAACAGTGAATAGTTTCTTAGTATTTATGTATGCTGATGGTTTTCTTCATAAACCTATTAATGTATGGCAATTTCAAATTCATGCTGTTAAACGTTTAGATCTGACTTGTATTCAATATCAGACAACTACTTCTACTCTTCTTCTTCGGTATATATATATTTAATTTGATTTGAGTTTTTTTTTCATGATTAAAATATAAAAATGAATATAATATAGAGGTACACGTTCATCACGTTTGGTTCAATGTTTTGGAAATGTACCTGATGAATTAATTATATCACCAAGCAATGCTTTTTCTTTAGCTGCTAATGGACTTAGTGAAATTCATGTACTTATACGACCATCACGTTCAGGTCTACGTACTTATTGTGTTAATACAGTTGATGTAGAAAATCATCAAATTGTTGATACATGGATGATACGAGTTGATACACGTATGCCTGTTATATCAAAACAATTCGGTAATAAATTATTGGAGAAAAAAAAAAATAATAAAATATATATGTATTTTTTTTATTATTCTAGCTCATACATTACCATTTGGACAAAGCCAACCAGTTAGTAAACGTATATCATATACAAATCCATATGCTATTCGAAAAACATTCTTCTTCATAAGCAGTCATCCTGAATTACTTCAAATGCAACATCAAAAACTTGATTTTCAAGCAAATGAAAAGAAATTTATTAGTTTTACATTATTACCAGCGTTTAATGTTGCACCTGTTACAGATATTATTATTTTAATTAATAATGAACAAGATACGAATGAAGATGCTTATTGTATTCGTGTTACTTATACAGATTCAAATATTCCTATTTAATATTGTTACTTGTGTATAATGTGTGTATTTGTTTGTGTGTGTGTGTGTGTGTGTTTAGTTTTTCTAGATGATGAATTTCAAATGAAAAGTGAATTAGAAATCATATAGTTAAAGCGATTTTTTTTTTGATAGGATCAAGATTTAATTTGATATGGGTGCCTTTTCAACAACTATCTTGTTTTTCAAACAATTAGGTATATTGTTATACATAAATAAATAAAGAAACGCATAAAAGTATAAGAATATCTGTTATTGGTGATAACATAAAAAAAAATTCATCTTATTCTGAAAAAAACTACTATGCCTTAGTAATCTAATGTACGTTGCTATTTCTCTTTTGAATCACATTTGTCATTTTACAATAAGCTTTCAAGATATAAAAATCTGCAATTACCTTTTTATTATAAGAAATCCTTCTCCTTTAGATAGAACAACTTCAATATTGTATCTTGTTGAATTCAATTCATACTGAGTCGCCAGCTATTGATCGGATTCTTTAATGAACTGATACATCCATTTTTATGTAGATTCACGTCTTTTATTTTGCTCTATCGAATGTTAAAAATCGTAGGTTTCTAGCAATTTGTGTTTTGAAGTTTTTGAAAAAACAACGAAGCACATATTTACAAAGAGTTATTTGGATCTTAAATTAAAATGATCAAAATGAATATTCATCGTTATTCTTCAAATAATTCTAAATGAGTTATATTGTATCACAATTTAATCATTATGATAACTAATTCAATCTTATTTGTTTATTTATTTCGATTATTTGAGATACTATGTTTATAATAAAAAAGCTTGTTAGCGCAGCTCCTTTGGAGCTAAAATGTGAAACTCACATATATCCTTAAACCTTAATATTCTAATGCATCATATGTAAACTGAAAAATTTCGTGTATACTGTAGTCGTTTTCATTGATAATCAATGATAAGTGCGAGAGTTTGTTATTTAACGTACGATGCAAAAGTAATGGTACAAAATGTTGATCCATATCTTTCTTCGATAGAAGGGAATTGAAACAAAACTTTTTTTTACCAAAAGATAGAGCTTCTTCTGCTCTTTTAGATCGTATATAATTTATTGTTTCTACCATGTCTATAAATGAAACAATATGCCAAAAAAGAAGTATACCGTCGAAAACATTTTGCACTTTTTTATAAAAAAGCAGCAGAAAATTTCGACCTTTATATTTCTTCAATAAACACATTTCGAAAAGAAAATTTTATTACTAATCGATAGGAAATTTTCTCCTCTTTCGAATGGTATACAATTTGTTTTTTCATTCGCATTCCTCAATGAAATGAAACAAGAAAGAGAGGGAAACATTCGTATATTAATTTTGCAATTTTTGTATGAGCATGTCAAAACACTATAGTAGACAATGATAATTTGGTTCATTTTGTACTGATTAAAAAACCCTTGCAAGGCAGCAGTTACTCACATGTTTACGAACTTTTTGAAGCTATCTTGTGGATCAGAGTTAACTATGATTAACTGCCATCTAGAAGGTATTTTTGACAAGTTCATGAAAAAACTCCAAATTGATTGTGAGTGTTTTCCTATTTTTCTTATTTCATTTCATTGAGGAATGCAAATAAAAAAACAAATTATATATCATTCGAAAGAGCAGAAAATTTCCTATCGATTGGTAATCAAATTTTCTTTTCGAAACGCCTTTGTCGAAGAGTTATGCAAAAAACAAGGAAATTAACATTTTGTATCATTTTGCTGAATTTTACAAAGACTCCAAAATGTTTTCGATGGTATACTTCTTTTTTGTCATGTTGTTTCATTTATAGACATAGTAGAAACAATAAATTATATACGATCTGGAAGAGTAGAAGAAGCTCTATCTTTTGGTAAAAAAAAGTTTTGTTTCAATTCCCTTCTATCGAAGAAAAATATGGATCAACATTTTTGTGCCATTACTTTTGCATCGTTCGTTATTTCTACATTTGAAGCAGACATTTTTTTTTTGTTTGAAAACGCCCTATTTTTATTTTGCATTATTGCTATTCGCTCATTATCTTTCATTTTTTTTCTATTGTAAATCATTTTTCATAACTCAACATTCTTATTATTATAATCACTGAATTAATTGGCAAATAAATCTGTTTTATATATCCATGATATCTACAGAAGATATTACGAACTATTATATATATTAATCAACTCACAAACAATGATGTTGATTATCTTTCAAACTTATAACTTGATCAATTTTTTGTGAAAAAAACTAAAAAGTCTAGCGCCTGTTATGCTTAATTGCTAAGGTCTATAATGGGAGTGTGTCTGTAATCGGGGCCTGTCTGTAATGTTCTCTTCCGTTGCTAAGTGTCTATAATGGAGGGGGGGAGTCACCAAACCTGGAACTTCAAACTTACACTCACTTTTTCCTTCGAAAATATATGTGAGTTCCACAAAAAAAAACCATGACTCTAACAATATTGAATTCGAACATTAGAAATAATAAAATGCAAATTAAAAGAAATTTCAGTTCATCTTCCAGTCAAAATAAATGTTATGCAAAACGTTGACGATTTTTTCTTTATTTATTAGAAAGTAATTCTTACATATTTAGATTAAATATATTACATAATGCTTATCAAAGACTTGTACACATTATTACTCTTTGAATACAAGAAGTTATTGAAAAATAAACTATTATATTTAGCAGTAAAACATTTTGTCTATATGCAAATGAATTATTATTTTTTAAATTAGTTCCGATTGTCTTTATTCAAACAAAACAAAAAGAACAGCATAAAACTATTAAGTAATGCATTAATATAAGAGATATATACATGTTTATTGTTTAAGAATCTCAAGCAGTGAAATATTAGTGTTATGTAACCTATTTGAATAGCACTCATTAATTAATATAGATATATTGGAATCATGGACCATCAGTAATTTAGACAAAATATGAAATGAAAGAAAAACTTCACTAAAACATGTCATTTTTTTTTAATTAGTATTGTTGTTAATTTCGAATATCTTATCGAGTCAGTTTGGTAATAGAATATAATAAATGAAATCATCCAATACAATTGAAATCCTGGATATTTTGTTATTCATGTAAAATAAAATCGATTTATATATTAATTTTTGCATATTCAATCTTGTATAGAAATTTGAATAAAATTTCAAAAGCAAAGATTAATATTCTATTTAGTTCATATTTTAGCAAAAAAAAATCTGATTATTTAAAAACAAAATTACAAAAGATCAACTCTAAAACAATAGAATATTCTTTTACCGACGTCAATCAACAGAAGATCTATATGCAATCATTTATATAAGTTAAAATGAAATATTTGCTATTTAAATTTAGAATTTTCCCTGAAGTTTATATTGAAATAGTTTCTGTAGTTTGATTATTCTTATTTTTCAATATTAGATGACAACTGAAATATATATTAGCCTTAACCAACAAATCTATCCCTCGTCACTACTTTTCATCGATCATATATAACATATGAATTAAAGAGATTGATAATAAGAGTTATTTTCAAGTTTATTTCCGCTATTTAGATCGAAGAGAGAGAGCGAAAAAATTCCGGTAGTAATCATACTTATAGAGAAGTCATTATATGACGATGAACACAGGTGAGTAGTTCATCATCTAACATGAAAGAAAAACCAAAGCTAACTACTTGATTAATCATACGTTTGTAACAAAAAAAGGTAGTAATAGTCTCGTCAATTTATTCAAATACAATTATTCGATCGCCTACACACCATCTATACCTGCATAGCTCGCATACGTATGTTACTCGTTGATGTTCCATTAATAAGAACAATTTAGTTATTAAAATATAGTAGATGAGAAAAAAAAAGAAAGAGAAAAAGGAAAAATAAAAATATAGTTTTCATATAAAAAGTTACTTAGATCATTATAGAATATAAAATTATTTAAATGATAAGTGACAACAGTGAAGTAAATGTTGTATAATAAAACAAAACAAAAAAAAAAGAATAATTTGAGCATTAGACAAATATTTTCAAAGTCGGATATAATTTTTTTTTCTTGGTTTTGTATATTTAGCTATCATGTCTTTTACCATTGATAAAATCCTTATTAGTTTTGGTTTTATTATCTTATTCACTTTACTCATCGGTACACGTGTTGGTCTTGCTATCGATATTACTTATCCCGATCATTTTCTTGTAAGTATGATATATCTTCTGATATTGATTTTATTCTTTATTTTATTAATTAAATAAATAAATAGCAATTAAATGATGATCGTAATCCTGGCGATTATATTCATTATTTGGGTAAACGACGTTTTTTACCTACACGACGTGAATCAGAACAATATGTCAATGATAATGTCAGCAGTGAAGACGATGAAGATTATTCAAATTTAAATAAAAAACGATATTTTCTGAGAACCAGACGTTATTTTCTTAAAACAAAACGAAATTATGTAAGAATTTCTTTTTTGATAAGGTTATTTTCACGACGAAATTTCTTTTTACAGGATTGAAGAATAATGATCATCAATAACAAGTTTATTGTCATATATTAATCTAAAACGTTTTCTATTATTGATTGTAAGCGTAATAAAGAAAAAAAATTAATAAGAATAAAATCTATTCATTGTTTTCATGGCAATATACAAGTCAAAAAAATTTATAATAATTCAATCAAAAAAACACAAAAAAGGAAATTTCAATTTAATATCAAATCGAAATAAGAATATGAAAGTTTTTCTTTATATAGATCATTTATATTCAGCGGTAGAAGAACATGTAAGCTCAGTGAGGCCTGACCCTTACATCTGAATTGGGCACTACTAGATTCAGCTTCATCTGAATTATGACTCTGAAGCTTGATCGCATTTAAATTTGACTTTGTTGGCAAGGAGAATTGTATTTAAGTGCTAAAATTGAAACTTTTTACATGTTTATATATATATATATTGTGATGGTTAAAAGGCAATAAAATTAGATACATCCGAGCCAACTTCTTCTCTTTTATGATATTATTATTTCTTTCATTTTATTGAGTGAAATACAAGTGTAATAATTATTAAGGTTTCAACAAAATTTTTGCTACAAAAATATTCAATACATTTCGAGTTTCCCTGTTTTCTATACGCATTCAACATCATAAATCTATTGGAATGACAGAAGATTATGATAATATTCTTCCTTATCATTGATCAAAATATGATTTCATGTTAATATAAATATTAATAATATAAAAAGTACTTGTTTTCGAGTATAGTATTAATACCAATATTTAAGATTATAGTCAATAAATGTTATTGAAATGATCAAGCACAATCTCTTTCAACACAAGATATTACTTTAGTTGATTTCATTGATCTTTCAACAAGTTCTCAAGGTGAAAATAGTGAAATATCTTCTGCAACTCAAATTTCTTCTCATGCTGCTGATACATTAAGTTTACCAAATCTTATTAACTCATCAAAAAATTATTATGAAACCTGTCCGGTTGAACTTTTAAGGTTTACTAGTTTTCACCAGTGTTTTTTATTTATCTTTAGGGCACTGAAGCGAGTCTACTTTGCTCGTTTTTATCAATTTTCACGGTTCTAACGATCCATAAATATGAATGTGAACTAGTTGACATAAAATCCGAGCTCTAAATATTGAACTCACGCTTTCTCATCATAGGATGAGGGTCTCGGATCATGCTGAATGAATTTATTATGGCCATAAAAAAATGAGCAAGTCATCAGATATCAAAATTTAATCTGAACTAAAGATCTTTCACTTCGAAATTTCGAACTCATTTTTCTGATCTATTTTTAACTGATTGTCAGAAACTCACGTATTTTACATCTAGTATTAAATTATTTTTCTAAATATAGCCTAATTTAATAACTTGATTAACCCATTTGTTTTCATCATTAAGACTACTTCTATTTTGAAATATGTTTATTATCTTTGTTATTATATGTTATGAAAAATATTTTTGCCATCCAACGACGAATTTATATCGAAACACAAAAAATGGAATATCTAAAAAAACAAACACCATCAGTTTAATCATGATCTTCGTACACACAAAAACAAAGAATGAAGATATAAAAATGGAATCAATTAACTCTCAATAAAGTAAAAACACAAATGCTTATAGATATAAATTGCAAATAATCTCTTTTTATCAAAACCTTTCTTTTTTTTATGGAACAAATAATCGATGAGACGGAGTGCGAGAATGAACAGAAATTAGTAAAACACCAAAAAAAAAATTGAATTAAAAGTAGAGAAAAAAAAATTATAGAAAGATTGTTTTATCAATGTTGAATATGAGCTGTAGCTGGTGGAGGCTGTTTTGAACGATCAGTTATCTTAAAAGCATTTATATTCAGATGATCACATATTTGTCGAACCTAAAAAACAAAACAATTTATAATTATTATCATATATATAATACAACTAACCACACAACAACCATAATGAATATGAGCTAAAACAACTGTAGCAGTATACAGATATAAGAAAAAAAATTCTGTTGTTTCCGTGAATACACCATAAACAGACATCAATTGTATTGGTACCAAAATAAAAAGAAGAGTATTAATACCCTCCGATTGAGTTGATGTCATTTGAGCAACAATAAGACGACACTGAATAAATAATCGAAAGAAGTTATTCATAGAAAAAAAAAACCTAACTATCTCATACATACAGCAATATTCGAAAAAGTAGTACCAACAGCTGCCAAAAATATACGTGGTTGTTTTTGTAATACCATATGAGGTGATGCAAGTGCCCACCAAGTTGAAGAAATAAATAGAATAGTTGTTGATATTAATGGTCGTAGTGCTTCATAAACTGTTCGATTGTAACCTGTACCATTGCGATATGATCTATAACAATATTCTTTTGAATTAAAAAGGAATCAACCATATTCGTTTATTTAAATTTGTATAAAATCAAGCTTTAATAATGAAAAATTGAATATTTAATATTTCATTGAATCTATGAAGAATACTTCTATTGAAATAATGTTCATTTAAATACACTCAAAAGTAATATGTAAGATGCATCGATATTAGGTTTGTAATGCAAACAATTAGTGAAAATTTTACTTTTATTAAAATGATCAGTACAATGAGCTCTACAAAATTCTACAGTAGAAAATAAATCTTCTGAAAATTAAGAACGAATACATTTCAAACGCACTAATCGATATAGATCTGCGAGGGAACGTTTTCAACTGATCAATCACTTTTGATGTAAGGGAGACCCCCTCTTCGAAACCTATCTTCTAAACGATTCAAGAGATTTTGATGAGAACTTCAGGAAATAGAAAAGCTAATGTAACTAGCATCTGATAAAAACTTGAACCAATCATTTTTGATAATTGAGGAGTTATACTAGATTTACTCATGAAAATGGAGCTTTTGGCACGGAACATTTTCCCGAGGCATGGTAGCATGAAAAATGTTGAAATTTGTTTCAGAATGAAGAAAAATCTTCTATCTAGAAATTTTTGGAACAGTTTTTTGAAATTTATCTTTGTTCAATAGTAGCGATCATTTCAAACCGAAAATCGAAAAAACTGCGGTGATCTCTTTCAAAGATTTTCAAATATCTGAATAACGGAGATATATTTTAGATATCTGTTCTAACAATTTCTAGAGAAAAATCTCATCTTTTGAATAAAAAAAGAATATTAGCAGCGCATGTCAAACAGTGGACTGGGAAAATGTTCCGCAGTGATTAGTAAACGATAAAAAAGTGAAGCTGAGAAAAATGAGTAACAACATTGATGATGTTCCTGTGTAGGAAATTAGAGAATGCTATATATCATTGAAAAGTGTATAAAAAGCTCTTGCAGTTGATGATGTTTTCAAGAAAAAATTAAGCTAATTTCTAAATCCAAGTTTACTGTGGCGCCACCTTTACAAAAATAATCTGATTTTGAAATAGTGGCGGCGCCAGACTACTAGCGCCCCTCTTGTTTTTTTGGGGGGAGGGGGCAGTAGAACGTGACGCCCCCAATACTTGTGCCTTGTAATCAAGAATACACAGTGTCAATATAGTAGAAGGACATTCTTCTGCCCTTAATAGAAGAAGAGAGAAGCTTGTGTTCTAGTTCTGCCATTAGCGGCTCTACTATTGATTTGTATCCTGGAGAACACGACATACGTAGAGATGGCGCCACCTTCCACTGCCCCCCCCCCCCCCAAAAACAAGAGGGACGCTAGTAGTCTGGCGCCGCCACTATTTTGAAACTTCCTTCTCTGACTGCAACAGTCAGAACATGATTACTTGATACGTCGATAGTTTTATACTGCTGATAAAGAAGATGGAACGATATTAATTATCAGTAACTAAGGAAAAAAATCAACACAACAGTCGATTTTCCACTATGACTTTCAATTAGGGGTGGGAAGTTACCGTTACCCGGGAGTTACGTTACCGGGTAACTAGTAACTTTTGAGTTACTAGTTACCGAGTAACTAGTAACGCCGGAGTTACCAGTTACCAGGTAACTAGTAACTTCGAAGTTACTAGTTACTTTTTGTGGGTAACTTGTCTAAAAAGTCGAGATATCGCTTCCTAATGACTGAATATCATCTATTCATCACTCAATTAAATTACGAGTTACTTGGTAACTAGTAACTCCTATGTGCGTTACTAGTTACTCGGTAACTCGTGAGCTGAATAAGTACTGTAATGATGGTATTCACTCATTAGGAAGCGATATCTCCACTTTTTAGACAAGTTACCTACCAAAAGTAACTAGTAACTCCGAAGTTACTAGTTACCTGGTAACTGGTAACTCCGACGTTACTAGTTACTCGGTAACTAGTAACTTGCGAGTTACTAGTTACTTGGTAACGTAACGGTAACTTCCCACCCCTACTTTCAATACATGCCCCAGAATTTGGCAAAATATATTCCATTCTTATATAATTTATACATATTCTGAAAGACAACACTCAGGGCTACTAGAATGTGTTTTTTCAAAAATCGAGTTTTTCAAGAAAAATCGACTTTCAGATGGAGGGGATCCCCTTAGGACTCAGTTTCTTTCTCGAGATATTAAAGTCCGAAAAATCAATCATATTCCACGAATTACGAATGGATTATTACATTAACTATTTTAATTCATTTAGATTTCATAGAATTATTTTTTCAATTATTTTCATTAATTAAGAAAAAATTGAACGAATTTTTCGCTAAGTAACTTGAAAAAAGAAAAGAACAAACTACTTACTCAAGAATATGAACAACACTAACTGGAATTGAAGCCAATAATCCAAATACTATTATAATAAAATAAATCCAAAAACTATATATATATTTATAATCTTATTTCAACAAACTTACATGGCCATAAATATACTGCTACTTGTGTAACTGGTACATTTAGAATAGGAAAATCAAAACGAAATATATTTGGTGTAAAGAAAAATGCTAGTAGATATACTAATGTCATGACCTAAATAAATACATTCAAAAAACAAAAAAATTCTACATTGATGTTTTTTTGATTATATTCTTACCAACATTGATATATCATAAAGCCATGGTAAAAAAAGTACTTTAGTATTATATTTTTCCCAATGTGTATCAATAAATGGTAGATAAGTAGAAAGAAGTAAGAAATGCATAGCCAATGGACTAAATCCATATTCATCTCTTGATATAACAGAAAAAATACAAACAGGAAATAAAAAAGTAGCCCATGAATCAACACCATGATCAAATAATTCACCTAAAGCACTACTAGTTTTAGTACGTCGAGCTTGTTTTCCATCGATACCATCTACAAAAATAATTGTTGTTATAACAAAAGCAAAAACAAAAAAAAATTTAAATTAATTATTTAAATAATACCTAATTGATGTGAACAAAATTGACAAATAGCTGCAACAAGCCAAATCCATTTTGGAAGAATAAGACTTTCAGTAAAATGAAAATCATAATATGAAAACATGACAAAATTAAAAACAAGAAGAAGAAAACCAAGAAAAGTCATTAAATTTGGTGCAAACCAACGTGGAAAAAACTAAAAACAAAAAAAGAAATAAAAATATTCTATTTCATATAAATATTAACTTTTTCATTTTACCTCAACACACCAATTCCAAAATGGATGCATAACATAAAGAGATAGAGGTGATGTATCAACAGCATTATACTAATGTAATAATATAATTAAAATCAATAAAAAAAAAGTAAGACATTCTTTACTTTATATGCATCAAGACCTTTTAAATGAGCAGGTCTTAAATATTGATAATTTAGTAAATTCATTTTAGTATATATTTATTTAAACAAAAATAATCTAGAATATGAATAATATTCGAAAACATACTTGTTTTTTTACTAAGCAATAAGCCTTACTCATCCATTTCTTTTTAGAAAAAAACAACCAATATTTATCTTGATTCAATGTGTGTCAATCAAAAATTTGTTCATTGTTACTATTTTTGTACATGATTAGCAATCTGGGTGAAAATAAATACGAAAAAAACAAAAAGCAACGAAGAGGAACAACAATGATCGACAACATGAGTATGATTTATACATTTATTCTTATTCGTTCTTATAATGAACCAATTATAATTACATATGATCCATAGTTTTCTAGTTTTTTTTTTTTTTTTTTTATAATGGATATTTATTTCACTCGTTTCTCTTTTCTGTTTTTTTTTTATTCATAAATGGCTTCATTAACTATATAAATTTGTTCATATTTTCTTTTTGTTTTTTTTTTTGCTGATTTCACATGAACAATAAATAACGACAAAGATATCAAATAATAAAAAATAAATTTCGTAAAATTTCAAATGACATCAACTGGTGACTATGTAACAACATCGGATGATGAAGAATCCTTTGAAGATGAAAAAATAATAGGTGGATCATTTCGTAATGGTGAATTTCAAGGACGACTTTTTAAATGGACAAATTATTTACATGGTTGGCAAGAAAGATATCTTATATTAAGACATGGATTTTTAAATTATTATAAAAATGAACTTGATATTACTCTTGGCTGTCGTGGAGCTCTATCTGTAAGACAAGCTATTATTCAGGTAAAAAATATTTTTTATATAAATTCAGAGTTTTTTTTTTTCAATTTCTATCGTATTTAACATAATTTCTATAGAAGTGATAAAACATTTAATCATAGTCAACTGTAACATATCTACTCATAATTAGTAGAGATGTTCACAGAGCACGATAACCTTGCATCGTGTTCCGTCGTGAAGCAGATCAGGTCTTTATAACTTGAAAAATTGAACGTCAAATTTTCAAGTTTTCATCTTTTTTGAGTATTAAAAATTGAAAATAGACTGTAGAGAGCTATACTAACTGATATTCAGAATTTTCATCCATAGATGTAAATTTGAATGAAAATGAGTATTGAAAAATTATATTTGTATTTTTCTTATTCTCATTCTTTTACCATATTTTAACGCAAAAGATTAACTTATGAATTTTATTTCATTTGTTTCTAATAATGATATTTATTTACTGTCTGTTGTTGATCTTAATGATGCATCAAATTCTTATTGGAAAAAGATCATAGATTTCATCTGAAAAATATTGATTCAACAAATCCATTGACTACTTGAGAACTTACTTTTGAACTCGATTGAAAAATACAATCAAGACAATATATCGATTTTGTTGGATACTCTATCCGATCCAATGAAGTACGACAGGACTATTTTTGAAAGAAAATGATAATCTATAGGATGTAAAGTAACAAGATCTAGCTCTATTATAATTTCTTTTTCAACAGAAAATTGTATTTGTAAAACTTAAACTTACGAGGAAACATTCCCAAGTGTCACATCACTTTTAAGTCGAGCGTATGCGATTCATGTAGGTCCTAATGATCTTTGAATACTCTGAAAAAAGTTCGTGCCGCTAGCTTATTACTGCCGAGATATTGCATTTTTACTGTATGTTTAAGAAAAAAAGCTGTGGCCCCCCTCAGGAACAATAGAAAAATTAAATTTCGAACTTCGACGTGAAACTTTGCATAGAGACAGGCCTCAGTGAGAATAATTTATTGTGAAAGTTTCAGATCTTTTGACTGCTCCTAGTCTGAAATAAGAAAATCGAAATCTGCTGGTGTATATAAGCTATTTTACCATAGCTGTATCGTAGGATAGAAACAACGAAAAGATCTGAAGCTTTCACAATAAACTATTCTCACTGAGGCCTGTCTCTATGCAAAGTTTCAAGTCGAAGTTCGAAATTTAGTTTTCCTATTGTTCCTGAGGGGGACCATAGCTTTTTTTCTTAAACACACAGTAAAAATGCAATATCTCGGGAGTAATAAGCTAGCAGCACGAACTTTTTTTCAGAGTATTCATAGATCATTAGGGGCTACATGATGCGCATACGCTCGACTCAAAAGCGATGTGACACTTGGGAATGTTCCCTCGTTAGTGTTAACATTGAGTTTACTGATTTGGCTCTAAAAAAAAACACGAACCAATTCTATCTCTTCTACTGATATTGAATTATTTCATCTATGCAAAATAATCTACTAAATAAAAAGAAAGATCTATTCATTTTTTTTAGAAAAATATTTATTGAACTTATTCAAAATCATTTTTATTTAATAATACATTAGTTGTTGTTTTCTTTGTTTTATATGTAGCCTCATGAATTTGATGATTGTCGTTTTGATATACGTGTCAGTGATTCAGTTTGGTATGTACGTGCATGTAATCGTGAAGATCGTGAACGATGGATGCAAGCTTTAGAAGATCATAAAAATATATGTAAAAGTGAATCTGGTTATGGAAGTGAAACAAGTTTAAGACGTCATCCAAGTCTTGGATCATTGGTATCGTCATCTAGTGCTGGTGTTGCTTCAACTGGTTCATTTAGAGTAATTATACTTATTTTTAACCAAAAATAATAAAGATCTTAATATTTTGATTTTATAGAGAGATCGTAGTTTAAAAATAAAATTAAGTGAATTAGAAACATATCGTGAATTACTTTCACAACAAGTTGCAACATTACAAACTTATTTTGATGCATGTGCTAATGCTGTTACAACAGGTTTCGAACCATATCAAAAAGAATGTTAGTCAAATCAATTTTATTATATATATAATAGACAAAATAAACTAAATATATTTAGATGAGAATGGAACTGATTTAGATTTTGAAGATTCATTGGATAAAAATCATGTTACACCATCATTAGATGATGAAACAATTAAAACTTCACCATCGAAATCAAGTTTATTTTAATATTTTATAGAAGATTTATATTTTCTTTTTTTTTTTTTTTAATTAATTTTTTTTAGGAATTGATCGATTGTCACTTGTTGATCATGCAGCTATGTCTGTTGATTTCAAAGGCGAAGGTTTATATACATATAAAATTTCTTTTTTTATTTTTAATTTTATCATATTTCTATATAGCTATAACATTTAAAGCAACTACAGATGGTGTGATACATAATTTAACATTTTGCATTGAATTAATGCAAAAACGAGAAGATACTTGGAGAAAAAAATATGAAAAAGTAAATAAATATCAAAATTTATATTTTAGAATTTTAATTTTTTTTTTGTATTTTATATATCAATAGGAATTAGAACGTCGAAAGAAATTTCAAGATTTATATACTAATACAATAAAAGAAAAAATTCCTGCACTCGGTTCACCCGATGCTGAAGTAAATAGATCGAAAAACTAAAAAATAATACTTCTATTTATAATCATTGTTCTCTTATTTTTAAAGGAAGGACCATATAGTACATTAAAAGAAGATGAATTTTTCGATGCACTTGATCAATCACTCGATCGAATCGATCGTGAAACAGACGATCTTCAACGTGCAGTGAGTGGTGTTTTGTTTTTGTTTTTTTTTTTGTTAATTTTTATAGATATATTATTCATTCAAAAATAAACTATTGAGTATTAGAGATAAGAATAAAATTTATTTAAACTATGTGCTTCGAAGAAAAACAAAAAAAAAAAACAGTAGAAAAGTACTTATTTACCTTTTCTTTCATGAACTCATCTAATGTAACGAAGAAAAGAAAAAAATATCAAATCTTCTGTTACTTTATTTTTTGTCTTCATTGCTTCTTTCTCATTCTTCGATCAATATTATTACATCATTGTTAAAAATGATGATTCGTCACAGAAGCTTTCTGATCACTTGCGCCTCCAGTACAATTGGAAGGGGAAGATACGTAAACGATGAAAAAAAAAAAACACTACATGCTTTCTCTTCTCTTCTTTTTCTCTATAAGTGTTAACTACACTCACTGTTAAATATATATATATACAATCTACGGTTTACAAACTTATGTATCGACGATAAGAAAAGAAAAAGAACTCGTTTCAATGAAACCAATAAAAAAAAATTTTCATATTCCACCATCCTATACATTTACATCCAATTGTTCAAATCCAGCTACGGTTATATCTCTAGCTTCATTTGTTTCATCTTGTTCTTCACCATTAAATCATGTTGGAGGTTTACGACCTTCTTATCAACAACGTAAATTTCTTTCAACATCGAACGCATCAACTACTTCTTCCTCTTCTTCTTCTTCTGCGTTTTCGATTGCTGCTATTCATATTACAGACGATGGTAATTTTGAAACACCACCGTCTACAAACAACAGTAGTAATGATTGTTTTGAAATGAATCCATTTGAAAATTTATCTAAAACGCAAACCTCACAGTCATTAAATAAGGTTAACTTCAAATATTATATCTTTGTTAGACACAGGTAAACATATTCACCTTTTTTGTTTGTTTTTTTTTAGTCAAAATTATTTTCTTCATCATCAAAAACTGCTGTCGATCATCGATCAATAACAAAGAAATCAAAAAATTCTACAGCATCAGATCCGACTAAAACTAATTCTACAACAATTAATGAGGCAACATTTGCTGCGACATCAAATGGTGAAAATATATCTGTCAAAGGAAAACATCGATTAGCTAATGATGTAAAATTAAATTTTTCTATTTTGTTTAATGAAATAATTAATTAATATATAAAATATAATTTATTAGGTTGAACGTGTTGTTCAAGAACATTTAACATATGTTCGAGAAGAAATGTGTGATGGATGGGATTTAATACATGAAGAAGGTAAAATGAAAGTCTATCGACGTGAAGTCGAAGAAAATGGAATTGTTGTTGATCCATTAAAAATTTTTCATTCAATTCAAGTAAATTAATTTATTCTTTAATAAAAAAAAAAAAAATATGTATTTTACTTTCGTTAGGGTGTTACTGGTCATGAAATTTGTCATTATTTTTGGGAATATCAATATCGTATGGAATGGGAAAGTAAATTATATTAATTAATTTTATTCTTTATATTTTCGTTAATTTTTATATTTAGCAACACTTGATTCAACAAAAATTATTGAAGCATTAGATCAAGATACAGTTATCTTTTTTCAAATGCATAAACGTGTATGGCCAACTGCTCAACGTGATTCATGTTTTTGGTCTCATATTCGTTGTATATCAAATTCTGAAGAAGATCAACCAACATGGCTTGTTGTTAATTACACTACTCCACATCCTCTTGCACCTGTAAGAAGAATAATTTATTTATTTAATTTTCATATTTTTAATTTATATACTTATAAATAGATAAAACCACCTCAAGTTCGTCTTATTGCAAATGTTGCTATGATATGTGAAACAATTATTAATGAACCACCATTAAATCCAAAAGATATTAAACGAGAAAATATTCAATGTAAACTAGCATATGTTGCTTTTGGTAAGATCAAATGTTTTTTTTTTTTATTTCTAAAATTAATGAAACTACTAAAGAGAATATCTTTCATAAGGATTCAATGTATACAAAAAAGAAAGTATAATAGCATTCCTAATGATTCACTAATAAATATGTATATAATTGAATATCTATAAAAATAGAATGCTTTCATAACTTGAAATTTTGAGAAAGTATTTAAGTTATGCAAACTAATCTATAAAATAGTCTATATTAGTCTTTAATCTTACATTTTTCGACGATATCTTACACTATGATGATGTTATTATGAGAAAGATGTAAAATTTATGACTATATTGATAAAGAATACGTGTCAGACAAAATTAAACAAAGTTTTAAAATAGAAAAAAATCGAATCTAGGATATTGTAGAGATCAAACTAAATTAATTTGAAGATTAGTTTTTATTTATATCTTCGAATTTAACATGATTCAATAAATGATATTTAAAGTATAAATATATTATACTGTTAAATTTTATTGAATTATTTTTCAATTCAAAAAAATGAAGGTTTTTTTTCAAACTTATATATTCTCTATGGTAGAATAATAATTTTAAATATTACTTCATTTATTCATAAAAATACGTTCGAAAATCATTTTTTGTTTTTCATGTTAAAACGGAAGAAGTCATTAATGAGAAAATTATTTCGTTGTTTTATACCTAATTAAAAACGAATTCTGTCAAAATTTAGTTTTTGACTATGGTAAGTACTTGAAGAGTAATTTGCTCTCTCGATGATTAATTTCATTCCTCAGAATTTCAGATGGACATTCGAAAGCTTAATCTGAATAAAATCCTACCAATGATTTCCATTGAATTCATATAATATAAATGTTGTATGAAACCAAAAAAAAAATTGATGATATTTGCTTTTTTTTTCTAGTCAATCCTGGCGGTTGGGTACCCAGTGCAGCAGTGAGAAAGTAAGTTTTAATTAAATTTCTCTATTGTTAATATTTGAACATTATTGTCTTTTAATTTAGTGTGGCTAAACGTGAATATCCTCGTTTTCTGAGACGTTTCACAAGTTATGTTATCGAGCAAACGCGTGATAAACCTATTCTATTTTGATTTAATTCCATTGGTTTTTCTTTCTTTTTTTTTTCTTTTTGACGAATTTTTTTATTATTTTCGTCTTTCTCACTCTCGATCTTAGTTTGTTTTTTTTTTCTTTTGTTTTTGAAATAATTACCATTCTATAATTTTTCTTTGCATATCAATATTTGGTTTCTATATTCTCTGTTATTGATGTCTTTATTTCTTTCTTTTATCTTTGACATCATTTACTTTTCTTCTCACACACACACATACACACCATGTGATGATGTGTACATTTTTTTTCTTTTTTTGTAAGAAAATCGCAGATTATTTTGAAACATTGATAAAACGAGGAAGAATCTTCAGAGAAAGAAAGAATTGCTCTTTATCGATGACAAATGCTAACATAATGTTATCGTTTGGAACAAGAGCTTTTTCTTCTCTCTTACTATTAACTATTTAAAAGAATATATATATATATATATATACATATATTTAGAATGATAAAAAATGTGTCATCTTCGATGCCTATGCGAGCGACTATTAATATTCGAAAAGATTCGTATATATTTTCTGAAGACGTACTAAAATCACCATCGGATCATGTTTCTATGGATGTATCGAATATTGTTACACCATATCAATCCAAAATTCAACAACAACAACAACAACAACAACAACAGAATGAAAAACATAATAAAAAATGGTCTATTGATGATTTTAATATTGGTCGACGATTAGGAGAAGGTTCTTATTCAACTGTAATTCTAGTTGAAGAAAAGAAAACAGGTTTTCTTTGTGCTCTTAAAGTAATTAAGGTATTTATATATCTATATATATATAAATTCAAAATTATTAAATTTATTTCAAATGTACTATTTTTGTAGAAATCAATCATTCGACAATATCAACAAGAACATCAATTAATACGTGAACTTGAAATTCATATGCGTTTATTTCATAAACATATATTACGGATGTATGATTTTTTCTATGATTCAAATCGTATATATGTTATACTTGAATATGCAGCTAATGATACATTAGCTTCATATTTAAAACGTTATCAACGTTTAGATAATACACGAACAGCAACATTTATATATCAAATAGCTGATGCATTAAATTATTGTCATCGTTTAAAAATTATGCATCGTGATTTAAAACCAGAAAATATACTTTTAGGACAATTTCATGAAATAAAATTAGCTGATTTTGGTCTTGCACTTCATTGTCCAAGTTCAAGAAGAACACAATATATTGGTACAATGGATTATATGGCACCTGAAGTTATTGAAAATGAAGATGTTAATGTTGATGATTTATCATGTTCATCTATTGATTCAACAACAATAAAATCACCTATTCCATATGAAGAATCAGCTGATTTATGGAGTTTAGGTATAATAACATATGAATTACTTGTTGGTACAACACCTTTTTATGATCCAGAATTAAGTGTAACAAAAAAACGTATTTTATCATGTGATTATATATTACCCGATTGTATACATACTGATGCTTGTCATTTTATAAATCATTTACTTAAATATGATCGACAACAACGTTTAACAATATCAAATGTCTTTGAACATAATTTTATTCGAACATTTGCACAAATTAATTTTCTTAATGAAACACTTCACTATTTTGCTTCAATGCATCATTCTCAAAACAATACACAATAATTATAAGATGAATTGTATTATATGTCAGATTTTTTCTTTCTTTTTTTTTTCTTTTCGAAGAATATTATATATATATATATATAAAATGTGATAAATGAATGAGCGAATTGTAATTTTATGGTAATATTTGAAAAAAATATAATAAAAGAAAAAACAAACTAACAAGGGAACTTTCCCAGGTGCCAGAGCGCTTTTCAATCGGAATTTCGCGCATCTTGTAGCCCATAGTGAGCTATGTCTATGGTTAAAAAAGTTCGGGCTTCTGACTTGTTTCTGTGGAAATATCGAGCTTCTAGTGAATTTTCTCTATAGTACGCCTACATTCGCAGCAAAGCCATACTTTCTAATTTTGATCTGAAACTTTGCCTCCATAGGGGCCCCAGCTTGATTAGTTTGCACAAAAAAATTTCAAAAGTTTTGAGTAAAGTCTCTCTAAGACACGAAGCTTTGAAAAAAATGCATACTATATGTATTATTTATGAAAAAAGACACTATACCTTGATAGTTTCATATCTCAGAAAGACTTTATTCAAAAATTTTGAAATTTTTTATGCCAACTAGTCTAGCTGAGGCCTTTATGGAGGCAAAGTTTCAGGTCAAAATTAGAAAGTATAGCTTTGCTGCTAATGTAGGCCTACTATAGAGAAAATTCACTAGAAGCTTGATATTTCCACAGAAACAAGCCAGAGGTCCGAACTTTTTTACCATAGACATAGCTCACTATAGGCTACAAGATGCACAAAACTCCGACTGAAAAGCGCTCTGGTACCTGGGAAGGTTCCCTTGTAAGTTGGCCATTCGATAAAGCACATTAATTAACCCAAAAAACAAAATTTCTCTGCACTTAATGGCATTATCATATATCAATTGATAGATTCAATGAAACATTAATTTAAAAGACCTTTTAAAAGCTATAAAGTTTCGAACTTATGAAATATCAAGCTGTTTGTCTGTTGAAAAGTTCGCAATTTGAAAGCTCTTCTTCACTGTTGTTTTGTGTTTTATCTTATCGAGCACGTTTGATCTTGATTCTGAGAAGACGTTGCTAAGTGATAAAAAAATGAGCAATAGACAGTATGCTTATGTGAAAAAGATTGCAAAACCTGACTCATTTCAATGAGAAATATGTGACAAAAATCTTTGAAAGATAGATCGAAAACACTGTACTTATTATTAAAACGATTATCTAGAGAATCTTCGTTATAGTCATCAACATCTAGTTTGCAACGCGTGATATGATCATACATATCACGAAAAATCCAATTTTACAATATACACATGTTTCGAGCTTCATGGAATCAAAATATTTTTAATTGCATGTAGTAGGACCTTTTGTCCACGTTGACATATGGCGAGACACCTAATACCCATTTCAAAACTGTGGTTTTTTTACATCAAGCCAAATTTTAGTAGTAAAATTTCTGATCGAAAACCAGACTACCCACTTTTAAGAATACTTTCAAGTTTTTTTTTTCGATATTATAATAAGGTATCAATGTTTTCGGTAGTTAATTTGACTTGGAATATATGAAACACATAATTTTGCTCATAATAATATATTTAAAAGAATAAAAGCTAATGTTTCTATATTATTTTTATGTGGAAAAAACATGCTACAGTAAAAAACTACTATAAAATCAATTTAGCAGTCATATGCGTTTTTCATCATCAAAACTCAATCTTTTTCGATGTTAAACACGATATTCATGATCAATTTGAAAAGCTGAGTCTAGTGTATGTAACTTCGCAGAAATATGAAAAAAAAGTGGTTTTTAGAAATTTGGAGCAGAGTATGTCACGAACCAATGAAGTCATATCGGACAGCACAAAACTAAGTGATAGGAAATACCTCTAACAATTCCCTTATAAATTTCTAATCGAAAACATCATGGTCTTATTGGAATTCGTCGTCTATAAATTACTGTGAAATATTATATAACTGTTGAATAAAACAGTTGATAATTATCTTGCAACTTGTCTTTTAGTTTTTATATCAACGAAAAAGATTTGCACAATTTTTCAACAGTTTACTCTGCTGTATAAAAATCTTCTAAATATCGTAAACTGTAAATGGCCATGAAATAAAATCTAACTGATTATTCATTATAAAGCAAAACTAATCAACAGTTGTTTTTTACAAAAATTACTATCATAGAAGAGTTTTAAGGGAGGATGTGAATGTGAGTACGAGCGTGAGCGTGAGGTCTTCTTTTTGTCCACACTTACACTCTTACTCTAGTTTCTCTCTTATAGTTAAAATATCTAACTATATTTAAATTTTTCATTTTACAAATTTTAGTCTATTAAATAATTATGAATTATTTTTTTTTTAAACTTCTATTTAAATACACAATATATTAGCCGAATAAACACAAAAAAAAAAAAGAAATGAACAAGAATTCTTATTATACAAACAAAAAACAAGCATCATAGATTATTATTATTTCTAAGAAAAAGATCAAAGTTGCCATTGTATCACTGTTAACTATTTGATTTAGTATAAATTTTAAAGAGCTTGTACTCGTGCATAATATAAATTAGAACTAGTGAGTGATGCAAGATCAGATGAAAGAGGTGGTCCATATCGTTGATGTTGTTGATATTGTCTCGTAACTGGTATTGAATCAATACTATTAGCAATATAATCATTACTTGTTCGAGTTGTTGTTGATGGAACCATAGTACCATTATGATGAATTAATGGTTGTCGAGGTTTTATAGAAGATTTTACAACATCACTAGAATGTGAATGTGGATTATGATGATGGCTAGCTTTTCGACGTCGATGACGAAAACAAAAAATAAAAAAGAGAATAAGACCAAGTATACATAGAGGAATGATAATCACATAGAATAAATTATTATTGATATTTGTCGAATGTGTTACACCTAGAAAAAAGAAGAAAATATAATTTCGAATGACAAATGAAATACTTCAAATATTCTTAGAATTTAAAAAAAAAAAGTAAATAAATAGCATAGAATATAAGAATATGTCATTTAAATCTCTTAAAATACTTCTGTTTATAACAAAATACAGCTTTTTAGTCTATCATTTACTCTTTTTGAGGAGAAAGTAAGCATATTGTTTCTTTTGTTCTAATCATTCTAAAATTTCAATAAAGATCATTTCTATTTCTACTTGAAAGCAAGACAAAAGCCTTTCTTTCCATAATACTTAACTATCGAAAATTTAAACTGAAATATAATGAATTGTTTTCTGATCATTGATCAATACTTCATTTATTTCATGAAAAATAAATGACTATCATATTATATTTTAGACAAATATACAACGATCAGGTTTGAAACTTAGCCTCAGTTCTATAACGATTGTCTCTAAAACTTCATGTCTAATGAATAAATTTGAATAGATTTTCGTAAGTTAGACAATAATAATCATGCATTATTTTTCTTACTTTCACGATTATCAATAATATTAATAAAAGCTTTTTTATAATTAGTAGCTTTATCATTTTGAATTAAACAAATATATTGTCCACCTTCTTTAGGAGTAATCGATGAAAAGACTAATGATTTTGAAAGAATATTATTTGAATATTGTTGTGATTGTAATTCTTGAGATTGTTCAATATTTTCATATTGTTCTGAACCAAATACAATAGCATCAGGTCGAAATGATTGTTGAGTATCAATTTTTTTTAACCATTGAATTTTTGTTGTTGGATCATTTGTTTGAACACGACAATAAAGTATAGCTGTTTTACCTCTTTCAACACTTGTATTTTGAGGATCGTTACCAAAAAATTGTAATTTTTCTGATAAAAAAAAAAAAAAAATTTTTCAAAGAAAATAACTTAATTTTTCTGTTTATTTGTTACCTGTAACAACAAGAATATATGTAGTATTGATAGCTCCAAATGAATTGAATAATTCACATGTATAATTACCAGTATCTGATTGACGTAAATCTTTAACTATTAATATTTGCGTTCTACAAAAAAAAAAAAAAAAGAAAACTATAATATAATCAAATAAAAGACATAAAATCGAAACTTACTGTGTAACACCATATTCATCTTCTGATAAAGTTTTACCATTTTTCTTCCATCGTATTTCTGGTGTTGGTTTACCAGATGCTAAACATTTCAATTGTACAGTTGTACCTTCCGGTTGAATAACTTTAGTTGGTCCTATTTGACCATCATCATTTCGTGAAATAAATTCTGGTGCTTCTATAACAAAAAAAAGAAAAATTCAATTTAAAATCATATTTAATATTAAACAATAAAATACCTCCACTCAATGAATCTAAATCCCAATTTATTACATTCTGTTGTTCATTATTTTTAGCATTATTATTTGATATTGTTCTATTTGCTATAATCATAAGAATAAATTGTTTATTTAATAAATATCGAATAAAATTTCAACAAATACTTACATTTAATATTAATTCGAAATTGTGCTTGTATACTACCAAATCCATTGACAACATTACATTTATATAAACCAGCATCAGTTGAATGTGCTTGATGAATTTTTAATATGAATCGTTTAATAACTAAATTTGATGATGACCACATAGGATCTAAATCTTCATTATTTTTTGACCATTGAATTGATAAATCAGGTGTAATAATAACTGGACAATGTAATTCAATTGAATTATTTTCATTTATATCTAATGTAACAAAATTCGATGTATTGGGTAACAGAGTAGGTGGACCTAAAAATCATATATTTTAGATTTTATAATTAAAAAATATAAAATATTTGATAATCATAATCTAAGAATGGAAATTTCGAATGAATTTCAGAAATTTAGATTAGATAATTCATGAGAAATATTGAGAATAATCTAAGGACATATTTGCTAATAAAAATGCAAAGGCCACTTCAGACTTATTATAATAACTATGTTAATTTTGAATGAACACTTTGAATGTTTTAACAAAATACATTATAATCGATTTATGTATGATATAATGACAGGCATTCTGTAAGCTTGACGATGAATAACTCAATTTAAAAAATCAAAATCTTTGTTTGTTTGTTTATTTTTTTTTTTTTGAGGTACAAATGTTTTATTGGATCGAACAATTTTTTATTACATACCTCGTGCAATAATGTTTTCGAAGAAGAAAGATAATAAGAGAATAATTATTTGATTCATTTGAAAATTAGATAAAATCTAAAATAAAATAAAAATAATCTATTTCCATTAAGAGTCTATTGAGACAATCAATCGTATGATAATACTATTGAATTCTTCAAGAATAATGGATTATAAGTGTTCAATCATATAATAACAATTCTAATCAACATACGAAATTGTAATAAAAGAAAAAATGATAAATCCAAATAACAGTTCATTCAATATACGCTATCACTTTGGATCGATAGTTGCACAAAACAATCTATTATCAGTTATCTTATTCATGACGATAGCTGCGTAATACATAGAAAGATTGTAATCTTATGTCTGCTCATAATATCTTGCCATTCTGCACCCATACAGATAAACTTCTTTTCTTTTTTGTTTTTTTTTCCTACACAATCATCTAGTTGGAAACAGTTACATCAGAGATTCTCAGTACTATCCACTTGAAACTTTCTATCGATGAATAAAAGTATCCTTTTCTTTTTTTTTTTGTTTTCGTTTTTTTAAGTGTGAAAATATCGAACAGGGTAAATTCTCACGTTCTTCAACTGATCGTTGATCGGACAGCAAACACGCGTACAGACGTGTGTTCGTCAAGCATATAACCTTGAATGAATAGGCTCATTCATCATCATCCATTCGTACAGTGTTCATGGTTCAGCTACATGTGTGTATGGGAAAAAAAAGATCAAGAAACAAAAGGGCATCTGTATATTTGTTTGGATCATGTCTGTCTATTCTAAATCAATGGATGAAAAAATTTCTGACGCAATGGTCTATCTCAATTTAACAGCAAATGAAAGATCAAATAGTGTTCACATGAATAGACATTTTTCACTTATCATACTTTTCAATTTAACAGTCCTATATAAATGTCAAACATATATTTATAACGATTGCTTATGAAACGTGAGAGAGAGAGAGAGAGAATAGATATCTATCACATGTATACTCTAAAAAATCGCTGATAAGAAGAACTTTATCATCAGCTGTTCAAATTCATCTCTTATTGTTTAATATGAATGAAAAGAAAATAAACTTACTTACACGTCAATTGCTCTTATTTTTCTCTCGTTTTTATATCGTTAAAATAAAGTAGAAAAAGAACAGTAGCGTAATTGCCTATCTGTATTAGACTACGTCCGACGTGTGAAATTGGCTTATTCGTTTGTTCAATAAACTTGCTCGTTTCGATATTGACCTACAATATGTTGATGATAATGGCGATCATCATCATCATCATCATCGATCGAGTCTATGTAAATGTATAATGGTGGAAGAAAGAAACTAACAACAAGTGGATGCACAATGACGAGAACATGTAGCAGCTATGACCAATGAACAAGAGAAAAAAGAAAAAAAGAAAAAAAACGAACATCTATACATTCACACATGCATCGAGAGAAAAAGAATTGTACAGCAGCAAATCAATCAGAATAGAGAGAGCCAAAGAAAGAAAAGTTAAAGTGACAGACGAGTATTAATGCACAGATAGAGACAGCTAGATCTGGCTATTATCAGGGGAAGTGCCTGTCAACAAACTCGCTTATATTACTAGAAACAGTTTTTTAGACGATGGCAATCATCTAATCAATATGATGATGAGACACTTCGAATGAAAATGAATTTTTAATTTCATTGTCTTTTCGGTCTTTGCTTCTCTTACTCACACACATGCACACACACACACACACACTACTCGACGCTTACTTATCAGCTTCATCAAACCATCAAAAAAAAAATGGGTGGTCGGCAATTATTGACAGTTCACAATGAATGACAGGAAACCGAAGATTATTTTATTATAATCATCACTCATTCATATAAATGTAAGCAACTAACGATTGAAATGAACAGATGCATGACAAATCAATATCCACCTTTATATGAATAGTTCGAAAGTTTTTTTTTTTTTTTTTTTATTTAGATCTATATAGATCAATCATTTGTTTTTTTGAACTGAGATTACAATTTTGTTCATCTCACAAATAGTGTTGAAACAATTTATTTTCAAAACAAAAAAAAAAAACATCGGAAATAAAAATCTGTGTAATATTTATTCGTCTTATACATGTAAAAATCACGACTGTATGCAAATTATTGTGATTCTTGATTTAATGAAAATTTTCCTTATTTCATATAAGAGTTTTCAGTTACTGATAGATACATCGTTTATTATTTGCTAACTTGCTTTTTTTCTTTTCTTCTTCTTCTTTCATCATTATTATCATTATGGATGATGACTAATCCGTTTCTACATTACTTTAGAACGATGCATTGAAATTCGAGTCGCTTTGATCTCTTCAATCTCAATATGCGATTTAAATAACTTGAATATACATATTGACGCAATGTTTTTTTTTTTTTCTATTCTATATTTTCATCAAGTCTCTTACTGTTTGCTATTCAATCATCACATGATTATAGAAAGAAGGAAGAAGCATTAATATGTATAAAAATTCATTATTATTTTTTCAAGTATTTTCTTTATACATAAGATTGAACGTACGTCGTATCTATGTATAAACTGTTATGAAAACAAGAGAATAGAAATCTGAATATATCTATATGAGAAAGATAATTATTCTTCGTAGTTTAAAATAAACAAAATCACACCCGAACACAAATGAACAACGACGACGATGATGATGAACTGTTGAACAGACGAAAGCTAAATTAACAAACAATAGATATATATGTATATATACAGAGAAAGAGATGAAGACTGACAAGAGCAGTGAAGGGCGTCGTTCGATCTTTTATTATATATTAGAATACTATAAATGAATATAATTTTATTTAGAATTATTTTGTTTTAAAGAATATTGTCGAAAAAAAAAAGTGCAATTAAAGATAAAATTCAACCGTGTGTGTATTCCTTGTCAGATAATATCTTTATCTATAAACATAATATAGCAGCTGCCAATACAATGCCAATATTAATAGACAATCCCTTCTAGTCATATATTGAATTATTTTTCTAAGAAATAAGATCCATCAATTGATTTCTTGTTTGATGTTATGTCTTTTAAAAATATTGACAGATTACTTTGTTTTTAAAAGAAAAAAAAAGCGTTCGATTTCTTGAATATTGATGAAAACCATATGTAGTTTCTATGTATAAAATGATCAAAACATTAGAAAAATGATACTAACAGCATTTTTTCTAATGGTATCAGTTTGGGAATGTATATATTAATTTGATTATATAATTGTCATCTGGTATTTTACAGAAGCAGATCAATATTTATTGGATCATACAAAAAAAAAAAAAAGAATGCTATTTTCTTCTTTGTTACAAAGAATTACAATTCTGAGATATGTTTTACTTTGTTGTGTGTATTTTTAGTTATCATTTTCATTAGGATCTTATTCATAACTAATGTAGTCAAATTGTAGAAACACAGAAGATTATTTTCAATTTGTTAGTCGATTTTCCCATAACAGTATTGTGTAAACATATAATTCACACATGATTTTTAATGTGTACTTTTTTCTAAAACAATCTGCGTGGATATTTTTTCTTACATATTATTGTCTTAACTCATCAATAATTAACCATGACGTTAGATATGCTAAATTTTACATAATATATTTAACAGGTACAGAATTAGTACTAAAAACTCGACTAAACGATGCAAGGATATCAGTATGGATTAACAGAGAATCGAAAGACATATCCACACACTTATCAACACCTTTACAGATGTCCAGAGTTCTGCTATTATTCTCTTGCCTTCGAGTCTTGATGAATAATAACTTTCTTATGAAATCTTAAGATTCGAAATCAATGATAAATGCAAGTTATTTTTTTGTCTAATGTTTATAGTTTCAGATTGTTTGACAAGAAATACAAATGTGTTTGTTCTTTTCAGTATAACAGATAAAATTCATACTTGATTATCTGAAACATTGAACGAACTAATAAGAAGAATGAAAAACAGCTTGTTAGTGTTTTCAATTTTCACTCCTTATGACAAAAGTTAAAATCACTTATATATTAATCATTATCGAACGATACTTTTCATTAAATTAAATATTACATCATAGATCTAAATTCCATAGTTCTTCTTTTTTTTTTCTGTTCAAATACCTGCATGTTATGACACATATCGAAAATCAGAAAATGAGTTTATCTTTTGAATTTAATATTCTTTTATTGCAATCACATATAAAAATAGATGCAAACATTGATCAACTTGTGAATTGGAAAATAATCAAACAATAATACACAATGAAGATCGCAAAACAAAAAACGTAATAAAAAAACACACTAGCAGCAATACAATAGACAAAAATATTTTATAAACCCATAAAACGAAAAATTAATGAAAAACAAAAAGCAACCAAAAGAAAAGGCTTGTTTCTTGTGGTCGATAGTAATGAGGTGGCTGCACTATTTTTAAGTTTAAATATAAGTAAATTAATCTGTGGAAAAGAACACATAATTTAAGAACAGAAGAACCAAGTGATCATCATATTGATACATGCAAAATAATAGTTGTGAATTCCTACATAATATGTATATATAAAAACATCGTAATCTAAATATATATCTATTTAAATAACTAACCTATCTGTATATCATTTTCTAAGTCCCAAATATAAGCCAAGACCCAAAATAAATAACAAAATGATCACAACTGTAATTAAAATAATTTTTTTACGTCGAGCAGAAGTCTAGAATTTAAAAATAAATATATATATATATATATAATTTTCATGAATAATAAATAAATAACCTGATAAGTAACAGCTTGTGTTAATTGTTTATTAGCCGATCCTACATTCGACTCAGCGTCTAATATATATTGTTCAGTAGTATCTAAATAATCAAATATGTTTCATAAAAGTTTGAATAAGTTGTCGATTGTCTTGTTCAATAGAAGCTTTAATATAACTTTCGATTAGATAGTAAATAAGATTATTCATTTTATATGTTCCACACTTTTTGTAAAATCTCTTAAAAAAATACTCACCAATTATTCCATCATGCTCATGGACAATTTTAGCAACATCTTTAAATAGTTCATTCACTTCAACAATATTTGTCTAAGGAAAAAGTAATTATTTTTTTAATTTATTTATTGAATTTCTTCAAAATTAATTTTATACTTCAATTTGACGTAATTGTTCATCACGTTCATGTAAACCTCTTAAATTAACTTCTTGTTCCATTGGTAAAACAGATTGTTGTTGAAGTTGAGTATTTGAAGAATTAAATTGATCATTATCTTGTGATTCATGTAAACTTTGTTGTCGATATGTAACAGCTCGAGCACGTTCAAGACTTTCTTTTTCTTTTCTAGCACCTTTACGTTGTATTTCTTGAAAACGATTTAATGCTGCTAAATGTTGATTTAGTAAAGTTTCAACCACATTTTTTCTACGTCTCTACAAAAAAAACAAAAAGAAAAATTTATTCATGACATTTTTTCTTTTATTTTTATTTCACATGATCAGCCTCAGTTTCTATAGGAATGCTTCTAAGTTGTTCAAGAGCACGATTTATTTCTTGCATTAATGATTTTGTTTCATTTTGTAGACGATGACTGATAGTAAATAAAGATTATATTCAAATTTCATCATAGATTTATTCAACTTACTAACGTTCCCGTAATGGTTCACTATCTTCTGATGTACCTAATTTTTGTACGAGTTTGTCAAGATCATTCACTATAAATAATTAACTAATAGATCAAAAACAACAAAAAGATTAAATAATAATTTAACATACTATGATTATTAATCTTGACTTGATTAGTTGATACACCATTATGTAAACGTTGAAAATCATTAGAACTTGTCACTAAAACCAAATAATATAAATATAATTTTCTTTGAACTTTTTTTTTTCTTACTTTTTGCTGACCAAATATCAATACAATTGTCGATCTGAAATGAAAATCATTTCTTAAAGATAATAATTAAAGATTAGTTATTATCAAACTGTGTAGTATGCAAATATAATCCTATTAAAATGTTAGAAAGCAAGCAAAAATAAGAATTAATCTAAGCATATATGAAAGTTTAATATTAAAATTCATATGTAAGCATTTGTTTTCTTGTTCTCACTTGCAATAATTCATCATCTGATGTATCAGCCATGAATATTGTCTACCGATTCTTTTTATTTAATTTGTTTTAGAAACAAGAAAATCTTTATTAATTATTTAATAATATAGTAGAATTCTCAGTTATTTAATACTTACTAATAAATTCTTTACTGTATACTACTCTATATTTACTCTGTCTCATACAATCATTCATATATTTGATAATGACTCATTACAAATTTCACTGTCATTATCAGTAGATGGCGTTGTTATTCTACGAAAATAAATAAAAATAATTGAAATAATCAAATTTAATTTAAAAAATTCGGTTTTTTTTTTCTTTATAAATATACATTTATTAAACTTAAAATATCAACCAGTCAAAATGAATGTCTTTATATTCCAATCAACAATTAACCAAATTAGTCATTCATTTATTTGGTTATTTGAACACAAAAAGCGCCACTTTAATATCCCAAAAAAAAACAAGAATTAAATGGATACTGGAGATTTAAATTTACCTGCATATAAATATCAACATGAACAAGTAAATATTTCTTTTCTTTTCTTCAATAACATTGATTTTATTTTGTATTAATTTTTAAGGTAGAATTAGCACTTAAAGCAAAACCAGATGATCCTGAATTACTCAAACTTAAACAAGATCTTGAAGTAAATAATTTTCTCTATTTATTTTTTTTTGAATTAATTATTTCATTTAGGAAGTAATACAAATAACAGCTGAATTACTTGGTTTTGATCCATCAATTTTAAATTCTGATGAAACAGCAACATCATCAACGAATTATAATGAAATAACATCTACAAATTATTCATCTTCATCACAATTAAATAATACAACAACAACATCATCATCATCATCAGTTCGTTCAGCTATTAAATGGAAAACTGGTGATCGATGTTTAGCACCATGGAATGAAGATGGAAAGTATGTGAAAATCATAAGTTTTTATTAATTGTAATTCTTTTCTTTTCCAAATAGATACTATGAATGTACAATTGATGATGTACTTGATGATGGAACATGTACAGTTATTTTTGATGGATTTGAATCAGCAGCATTAACAATAGTTCGAGTAAGTATATAATAATATATTTCAAAAAAAAAAGAATATTTCAATCATAGGCATCAAAATTAAAACCATTTGATCGAACACGTTCTGCTTTGAGTGGAATACAATCAGCTGCTAATCGAGCTAAAACAAAGTAAATATTGATATGCAACATTTGTTTTTTGTTTGATTCTACCTTACTTTTTTTTTATTTAATAGACGAGAATTAGAACAACGATTACGTGAACTTAAACGTCGAAAAAAAGAAAAAAAAACAGCAAAATTAAAAGAATTTGAAGAAGAACGTGAAAAAGATAAAAAACGATGGACAGATTTTAATTCTAAAGTAATATAAATAACAAAATTATTTATTATTTCAATAATATTTCTTTATTTTAGTTAACTAGTCGAACATGGAAAGGTGTCGTATCAAAATCAATGGTTAAAACAAATAAACGAACTGAACAATTACATGGTACTACAAATGGTGATTTAATATCAAATTATAAACCAGCTCAACCACGACCGTAGATTTCTTTGAGAATGTATAATATATGTTACAACTAACTATTGTGGTTCTTTTTTTTTTTCTCTTGTCATATTGTTTTTTGTTCATCATTTTCATTTAAATGTAATCTTTTGTGTATGTGAAAGAAAGATATGAGATAAAAAAGAACGACACTTATATGTTATTCTAGATTTTGTTTTGTTTTCATCTCTTGGATTTGATTTAAATTCTACGAGAAATAACAACGATTTGCTTGAAAAATGCAAAGTACTCGTCTATTAAATACTGTACAACGTTGTTCATCAGCATCTAGAATTAATCATTTATTGAGACGATGTCTCACTATTTCTAATTCAACAACTAAAACAAATCTCAACAAGTGAGCAATTATTAAAAAAAAAAAAAAAAAGAGTTTTGTTAAGTTTAACAATTTCGAATGAAATTGATCAAGAATTTAGAAATTAAAATTGTATTTTGAAGATTCGAAATTTACTAATTCACAGGCACTTCAAAATACTGTTTTATGTTAAAAAATTTAATAGAAATAATTTCTATTATCTTTCATATTTGAAATATTTTTGAAAATATTGTTCGAACTATATGATTATTCACAAAATATTATCGATATTCTTTATTGACATTTTTTATCATAGATATTCTTGAGATAATATTTTAATAAGAAAAATGTTTTTTTTTTTTTTTTTTTGCATTATTTTAGCTCATCCCTATTTCTAGTCAATTCAAACCTTCCTTCATGTAACACTGGTCGATTATTATCACTATCAAGAAATGATATAATTCGTATTGGACAACATCTACCTATTCGATATGCTTCATCTAGTAGTTTACCATCTCATAAAAAAGTTCCTCTTCCAGCATTATCACCAACTATGGAAACTGGTGTAATACGATCATGGTCTAAAAAAGAAGGAGAAAAAATTGCTGAAGGTATCTCTCTATCATCATTGTTATGAGTAGTTCTTTATTTATTTTAAAGTTCAATTATTGAAAATTTTCTTATAGGTGATATATTGGCTGAAATCGAAACAGATAAAGCAACATTAGGATTTGAATCAGGTGATGAGGGATATCTAGCAAAAATTATTGTACCTGCTGGAAGTAAAGATGTACCAGTTGGAAAAGTAAATATAATAGAGTTATTGGATAGGTTCTTTTTTTCTTATCGAATTATTTAATAATTTATATATTTAGTTATGTGCTATTATTGTTGAAAAAGAAGAAGATATAGCTGCATTTAAAGATTATACAGGTGATAGTAGTGAAACATCAATCAAAAAGGAATCGTCAGAAGAAAAAGTCACTTCATCTGGAAAAACTGCAAAGAAAGAGAATGAATCTGTGAAAAAAGATGAATCAATAAGTCAAAAAGAACAACAAACAAGTAGCGATGATCGAATTACAGCATCACCTTTTGCTAGAAAACTTGCTGAAGAAAAAGGCATAGATCTTGAAGTAAATATTCAATTCTCTATGTTGTATACATACAAAAACAAAAAAATCATATTTTATCTAAATTTTCTAGTCAATTCAAGGTAGTGGTCCTAATGGCCGAATTATTGCTGAAGATGTTGAGAAATTTATAAAAGAAGGTGGTGCTAAAGCTAAACCAGAAGCTAAAAAAGTCAAAGATGCTCAAGCAATTCCATCCAAAGCAGTTAAAAAAGATAAAGAAACAGCAACACGTGCAGGTGGTTATGATGAACAACAAATATCAGAATTACGAGCAGTAAATAATCTATACAAAGATATTTCAATACTTTATTGTCTTTTCTCTTAGGAAAATGCTCGTCGTGTAATTGAATCAAAGACTACAATACCTCATTATTATTTATCTATTGATATTCAATTAGATGAAATACTTAAGTATATTCTTTTAAACATCAATGAATTTTCCGTGATTTATTAACTTTTTTTTTTTTTTTTTCTAGATTACGTCAAAAATTTAATGATATGTTAACACCTAAATCAAAGGATTCAAAAGAAAAAATACGTGGTATTTCAGTAAATGATTTTATTATAAAAGCAGCTGCACTTGCATGCAAGAAACGACCTGAAACAAATAGCGTTTGGATGGATAAATCTATCCGACAGTAAAGATTTTTAACTGAATTTGTTTTTGTTCATTTAATTTTAATTGTTTATATTAGATATGAAACTGTTGATATCAATGTAGCAATTGCTACTGAAGCTGGTATTCTTATGACGCCTATTATTTATAATGCTGATCAAAAAGTAGTTTTTATTGTTTTTTCAAATGAAATATGTTTGTTGTTTTTTTTGTTCTTTAGGGTGTTTCGACTATTAATAAAGAAATATCACAATTGAGTGAAAAAGCAAACAATGGAAAATTGAATGACAATGAACTTGAAGTAAATCAATGAAACTTTTTTCTTGTTTTCTTGTTTTATCATATTAATTATAGGTAGGAACATTTACAATTTCTAATTTGGGAATGTATGGTATAACAAATTTTAGTGCTATAATTTATCCTCAACAAGTATGTTATATAAAATATAGTTTATTTTGATAGAAAAGCAAAAGAAAAAAAAAAAATATATATATATGTATTCTTCTTTTTATTTTTCTAGTCAGCTATTTTAGCTGTTGGTGGTATTGAAACAAAAATTGTACCTGCGACAGATTCATCAAAAGGGTATGAAATTATTTTTGTTTATTAATCATTTGAATTTATTCTTTTTTGTTTTTAAATAGTTTTCGCCAATCAACTATTCTCAATGTAACATTAGCAGTTGACCATCGTGTTGTTGATGGTGCTATTGGTGCTCAATGGTTACAAGAATTTAAACAATTTCTTGAAAATCCTGGATCAATGATTTTATAGACAATATTAAATTATAATATGTCTTATATTGTCATCTTGTATCCTGTCTATGATCCATATTATTAGTCATAAATTGTAGACTAGTTTTGTGATACAACTACCCTATTGTGTGTGTATTCTATCTTCATGTATTTTTAGTAAAAAATAAACAATATAATAATTTATTTTTCTTATTTTTATTTTCTATCTGATTCATCAGAACTATGAATAGAATATATGGAATGTATTAGGATGAAACATAATATTATTCCAGAAGAGTAATGCTATACTTTCAAATAGCATCAACAATAAGTTTTATACCAAATTAAAGCACGTCAGAAATAGGATTTATCAATACTAAATAGTAAGAGTTATGACAATTTCTCAGTATCAAATTGAGGAAATTCCTGATTTTTATGCTATGTTAACATAGAAAAATCCTTCTCATGAAGCAATTCAAACTAGATCTCATTTAAAATGATAGAATATCATACAGTAATGTTTATTTTTCTAAGATTTGGTGAATATAATTATGGTGACCATTGGTGTTTTGTTTTTTACAGGACTGAGATAAGACGCATACGAACATAAAAAATATTCTCGTAACTCAATTTTTATTTCCAGTTTTATCAAAACATTTGAAATGTGTTCTTTTTTTTTCAATTTCTTCGTGATAACGATTATGTTCCTATTGTGACAGCATTTTTTTAAATTCTATTTTTGATTCTTTGTTCTCATGTTTCTAGGTTAGATGTCGATTACTTTGTGATAATCATTATTTTAAATGAGATCTAGTTTAAACTGCCTCATGAGAAAGATTTTTCTATTTTGACATGGCGTCAAAATCAGGAAGTTCCTCAATTTGATACTAAGAAATTGCTATAATTCTTACTATTTAGTACTGGTAAATCTTATTTTTGATGCACTTTAATTTGATATAAAATTTATTATTGATGCTATTTGAAAGTATAGCATTATCCTCCTAGAATAATATTATATTCCACTCTAATAGATCTGATAAAGATTAATCCGTAAGTAATTTCATCGAAAAGGAAATTATTTATTTTCAATATAGTTTCATCTAATGAGTTAAGATTTTCATCAATAATAAACGGATATTCATAGTTCTTGTTCATAGAATAAACGCTGACGAAACCTTTTTATTTTTTTTTTTTGAAGTGTCATTATTGCTTTTAATATGATAAAATATACAATGCAAAATAAGTGCAAGTCATTTCAGTCAGATTAATATATGTCAAGTTTATTTGTTTATATTAAAGTTAACAATACTATCGTGTAAAAATCAAAAATTAATTGATTATACTAATATTCAATCTCATGAAAATGTTTTTAGTTCACAGCCTGATAGACGACAATGCTTTTTTTATATTACCGTTAATTGTAGTACTTCAAAACAATTATTTATTAATGTTTATCCTATGGTTCTAAACGTTTCTTTATCATTGGTAACAAAGCCAAACACTGGCGAAGTCCATGATAAAAATATCTATTCAAGACTTTTGCAAAAAGATTTATGCTTTCTAATATATATTTTTTTGTTTCAAATTCAGCAGTGTTCAGACTTCCTAAAAAGGAAATTTCAGAAATTTCGGAGATTTCTGGAATTTTCAATATGTCTAAAAACTTTTGATTTGCACTGCTATATAGTTATCGAGCTGATGGAAATTTCAGAAATGTGGGTAATTTCCTTTTTTTTGGAAATCTGAACATACCTCATTTGTTCAAGTAAAAGAAAAAGAAAATACTTTATTTTTAATTTTATCTTAGTGCTTACTATAGATACAATGAAAGTAACAATTCATAATTATAATATTAAGACAGCAAACAAAAAGCAGAGTGAATAATACAAAAAAAAAAGGACGCATTTTTCAATTATGTTAAATAATATGAGTTTTTGTTTCTCTATATTCTATTGATTTTTCCAATCCTTATATTAAATTTCAAAATTCTATCATAAGCCGCTTGGATTTATGAATCGATTGATAAACATTTATAAATTTTAATTAGATAATGCATTTTTATGAATAAACAAGCAATTACATAGTATTAAAATGATTATGTCTTCATTTATAATATAAGTTTGTACTTAAAGTGCATGTTCTATTAATAAAGATTCTTCTCATGCTATGCACATAAGACTTTCTTCTTAGAGAATTAAATTAATTTGTTGATCTATTGTAATAACATGATTTGAAAAACATAAATTCAGTATCTTTTTTGTTATTAGTTTTTAGATCAGACATGTTATTACGAAGAAAGAATGTTGTTTTCTATTAATAAACAACTGACAATGTCTATATACTTATATATTTAGCATGGAAAAATGCGATATTTCATGCAGATTCCTAATTTCATTCAGCTTATTAGTATATGTATATATATATAGATTAACTGCTGAAAACTCATTGATAATGAATAAGTGATGAATGAAATAAGGTCGTATTTTTATCGATCAATTATTCCTTTTAATATAAAAGAACTTTCTAATAACTATGACAAAGAAATTATAAATAACGATAAAGCGGTTAGGCCATTCTTAGAAATATATGAACATGAAGATTGATTGAGTAAGTGTAAAACTTTTAATATACTTATTGAGATTTATTATGAATTTGATAGAAAAGATATTTTCCAAATAAATTATTATCTTAGATTTATCTGAAATATTATTTTTATGTATATGTCTTTGCTAAAATTGCGACAAAAAAAAATAATAAATATTCAATTTTTTTTTTATTTTAATGAAAAAATGAATAGTTCATCTGACACAAAAAAAATAAATATAATAATATCTCTGAAATTTTTTTATGCATAAAAATCTGCAGGTTCAAGCTTAATATTAGATGATGATGAAGATGAGGTCCATAAATCATTTGTTTCTTCATGTTGAATCGAATGTCGATGTTGTTCTTGTTGTTGATGTTGTTGTTGTTGTTGTTGTTGTTGTATACGATGTAATGGTGCTATTCGTTCAAGATCAACTGTCAAGTATCGTTTATAATCAGGTGAATTTAATAATTCAAAACATTGTTCAGATAAACGATATTTTTCTCCAATATCAAGTGTACCTAATGTTTGAATATAACGATCATATTCAACACCAAAACGACTTAAACGTTCAATAAGATCATCATCGTTTTTATCACTATTATTATTATTGTTGTTGTTGTTGTTGTTATTTTCATCTTCTTTTAACATTGGAGCACATTTGACAAGAAGATCAACACGTCTTCTTGTTCCATCAACCATTTGTACACCTTGTCTTACCATAATAAGTAGATGATGTTTTTTTAATTCTTCAATAACTGAATCAAGATAAGCAGCATTACGTTTTAATTTTGAATTTGCATAGACAGATGTACGTGTAAATGCTACATATGGTAAAAGTAAAAGTTCATGTGCAAGTTCTAATGATTTAACATATGATGGATCAACAAAAGTTTTTAAACGTTTTGATGCTGGTGATGTTGATCTTGGAGGAAATGCTGATGATGATGATGATGAATGTGTTATCCATGAACGATCTGATATAGGTGCTTGATTGATCAATGATGGAAGACTAAAAGATGGGCGAAAAAAAAAAAACAAATTCAATACAAAGAAAAACAAATATTGTTAATAAAATAAAAATAATTTTTTTTTTTTACTCTGAATTTGGTGTTCCAGTATTTAATGTTGGTTCAAACATAATTTCAAATTGTTTAATACTTGTATTAACAAAATAAATAGCTGATTGAACAATAGCAACATTAATATTTACTCGTGTTGTTGTTGTAGTACTTCGTGTTTGTTCAATAATATGAGTACAATTATCATAAAATATTTTATCTGCTTGACCAAATGTATGAAATGTTCGTCGATAAACAATTAATGTTTCAATAGCTAATTCAATTATACGTAATGATGCTGATATACGTAAGACATGTTCACGTGCCGATAAATATCTTGCTGACATCCATGGATGACTATCTTCAAGAGATGTTGCTTTAAAAGGAAAAAAAAAAAAAGTAATTACAAAAATAATTTCATAATTATAATATAAATATACCTTTAAGTGAAAGTGCATCAAGATAATCACACATAAATTGATTTGCTTGTGGTTCATCAAAATAAAAATCCATTAAATTTATGCAATGACAATTAAGAACTATAATCCATTGTTCAAGTGATGGATAACGATTTGGATCAAATAATTTTGGTCGTCGACAAAATAAACGTGCTTTACTTGCAATAAACATCATTAACCAATCTGCATTATTTATATTATAATTATTATTATTATTGTTATTATTAATATTATTATTATTATTATTATTATGAATACTATTATTATTATGATTAAATTTTGTTTCAAGTAATTTTCGAATAAACTGTCCAGTACTTGTACCAATAATTGAAAAAGAATTTTGTTTTTGAATATGTATATATGTTCCATGTTCATCAAATTTATCTGATAGACAAAGACCTGATGATATTGACGATTCATCTGATCGACAAAATATATTTGAATTAAATGTATGTCGAATATCATATTGTTGACCAGTTTGACGAATACATTGTACATTATTCATTGCTTGTTTTAGATGTTCAACCAATGATGATCTTTCATAGCCTAGTTAAAAATTATATTAAATTTTCAATCTCAAAATAACATAGTTGTTTAGAAATATTCCTTGATTATAATTTCAAGTTTTTCTGTTTCCTTTATTCAAATGCTTTCATGTGAAAACATTTTTCTGCTCTCTTTCCTGTTTTCTTTCGAATAAGGAGGTCATAGGATTCCACAGAAAGGTTAAAATATTTTCTTATTTACAACTTAAGACAACTTTGTCATCATTTTTATTCGTTAAAAATTTTTTCTATTGTTTACGCTACATTTAATTTATTGTAACAGAAGAGTATGAAAATAAAATAATAATAATTATTTTTTAATATTTTGCTATGTCAATAAGACCTCTCATATATTACTTATTCATACTCTTTCACCTAAGAAATTCAACATTAAAAACTATACTAATACTTAATAAATAAGAGGCTATGATATTCTATACCATAAAAAAAAAATGGCCTTAATTATTTTATCGTTTCTTATGGCAAATCCAACATATAATTTGTAATTTCATCTCAATAATAGACAATATCTAGATTTAAAAAAAAATCATTTTAGCCTATTTTTTCAAGTTATCTTCATATTACGCCGTTGTCAATTCGAGTGTATTGCAAAGAGATTTAGATAAGACTCAATCATGAAAAGAACTTTGTTTTATCACATATTTCATGAAAATATACATTTGATTATCTTTCAAAGTATACATTTAATTAAAAATATCAATATGATTTTTCTACCTGCTCGTACAACTAAGAGTAAATGAAGATTAAGTTTATGTTTAAGTTGATTGTCAGCATAGACAAATGACGTTGATGTAAGATAATGTGAAGTTAAACCCAATAAATGAATAAATAGGCCAATATTATCATACATATAATAATCACTTAATGCATGAACTAATTCACATGTATCTGGTGACATAACTCGACGTAAATCAAGTTGATATGATTCATTAAGAACCATAAATGTTGAATCGAACCATTGATCCATTGTACCAATATTTTCATCATCCATTTTGTTTTTATTCTTCTATTTTCAGCTTGTTGTTCGCGTTCTTTTTAGTTGCTTGTTACTTGTTCTACTGACGGCAACAAGAATTCTGATTGAAGGAAAAAGAATTCTCCCTCGTTGCCCTCCATTTCTTTCCTTATTTCCTGCATCGAGCCTGTTGCGAATCGAGTGCAGAATTTTATACGTGTTGTTAGTCGGCCGAGAGAGAGAAACGAACAGAACCGAATATATATATATATATATTTTTATATAAATATATTTGTCCTCACTAACGGAGAAAAGAAGAATGAATAGATGTGAGTGCAGTTGTCCTTCTACTGAGTGTGAGAAAGGAAAGTTTGACAGAAAAATGAGAAAAGAAGGACAAAAATTGTTCTGAATATTATCGTCGTCGTCATCATCATCATCATCATTGGTGGTTCTTTAATGTCGTTGTAAAAGAAAAAAAATGCTAGAAGAGAGAAAAAAGGGCGTTTTCTTGTCATGATAATTTGATATATTAAGACTACATAATTAAAATAGACCATTTTACTTAGTGTTGCCATTCCATAATAAATGCACTCAAATTGACATAGTTTTCCAATTGAAAGAAAAACTAATAGAAAAAAATATAAAAATAAAACAACATGGGTTGCTTATAAATTATCAATAAATTTTATAATAGAAATTTCAGAGAATTATTAATTATTTAAATTGATAATTAATTGGTGTAGATGAAATCAATTTGAATAATGAATTGAAAGGTTTTTTTTTTTTTTACTCACAATACCAATTTCGCTATGAAATTATTGATTAAGGGCAGAAAGTAATTTGAGCAAACAAAAATCACGGTTGAACAAATCAAATCTAGAACGAAATATGCCATACAAATTTCTGTGTGACATGTAATCGACGGTAGAATTGTTAAATGTCAAAAATTAGAAATCCTTGTAAACCCTGAACGAAAACTATTTTTCTAAATTTTGATCAATACAGTGTAATATATCACGTATGTATACAGTACAACAATAAAGTTGAACACGAAATCGATGACCAAAAAAGATCTGAGTTTTCAATGCTTTTACATTCTACATTTAACTATCAAATCATAATAGCTAAATTTAGCTCTTAACCAGGTATTCATCGTTATTCATTGTAAAAAAAAAACATTATGGTATGATATATAAATAATATTTTATTAACATATATATATTAATATAAGAATGGATTCTTCTGAATCGGTTCATTTCATATTGATACTAAATAATAAATTCTCATTCAATTATTTTATGGTATTACTACTAGTTAATGACTAAAGATATAGATGCAAATTTTAAATTGAAATTAAGCAAACATGAAAACTATGTAAAAAGCCTGGAAAGATTATTTTTAATTCTATATATTCTTAGTATTCATTATTTGTTATGAACGACTAATCTCATTTCAACATAGAATGCAAAAAAATAACATAGAAGATTAAAAAAAAAAAAAAACCGGATGAACTAAGCATAAAGTAGTGTTACTTTGATCTAAAATTAAATTGTAATCATAGTAAAATTTATAATTACGATTATCTTATTGACAGAGTTTGATTCTACATAGCTTGATTTTTTTTCCTATTATGATAGAAATATTTTTAAAATAAATAGAACGATATTTAATGCATCATATTACTAATAAAACATTATTACAAACAAAATAAATATCATTATGAAAATAAAGATTTCCTGAATGTCTCCGCGGAAATATTGAATAAAACTTCAAAAATAATGTGTCATTCAAATAAAATCATTTGAATTTATCTTGAATATAACAGACTCAATTCATTCTTGTTCTTTTTTGATTCTAATAAGTTTGCTTTCAAAGATATTCCAAATATGTCAATATTATTCTTCTTATGATAGAAAAAGCGATCATACATAATTTATTACGACGATTGTTTATCAAGGTAGTGATGCAATTAATAACTAAAGTTAATAATAATCATCATTCGTCTCTGTTATATTTCTACGCATAATTAACTATCGATGCATTCTTTTTCTCTATTTTTTGCTCAAACATGTGATTTCGTTAGAAACCACACAGGTGAATTTGACTTCACCAATAGCAATACTATTATCGTTAATACGTATTCGCTTTTACTTTCTGATTGTATATGATAATCGTAATGGATGAAAAGTAACGCATGAGCGTGTCCTATGATCATAAAATATATATGATGCATTCGAGCGATATGTACACAATAAGAGACTATTAACCTGAAAAAGAAAATTATTATTGCGACGAATATATTTTTAAATAAACAAGTAGTATTTTGTAACTGATCGATTACCTGACAAAAAAATATGTTTTCATATTTGTTTTCTACGAATTAATTTGAACAACAAATGAATTCTTCAATGATCACAAATCCATTAGATAAAGTATGTGTAGAGAAAAATAGTTAATACTTTGCCCTATAAATATTTTTCCTTCTCTCTTTTTTTTTCTAAAACAAAAAAAAAAAGAAGGAATTTCATACAACATCAACCAACGATTCTTGTCAAGATTCAAATGCTGATGTCTGTATTAAACTCGTTCCATCGGAAAATCTTGATAATACGCAGACAATTACTATTGATTCATTATCGAATAATAATGATTTAACTGTTACACCAGCATTTCCAAATTTTCCAACAGATAAAGAAGTTATTATCCAGCCAGAATCAACTATACATCTAGAGTCATCTAATGATGCTTCAGTACAAGACATCAATTCCGTCTCATCACCAATAACCACTCCTCGTCAATCACAACAAACGCTTCAAATGCTTGATGAACTAAAATATTTACTTAAACCAACAAATTCATTATCTAGTCCACAAGAAGTTGTAAAAGAATCGGTGAAATATAAATATGAAAAATTGCTTAAATATTCAATTATTTTTGTATTGTAGCAAGAAGCAGATTCAGCTATAAAACGTCGAGCAACTCAATTTGATGAGGGTATATTGAATGATACTGAAAGACTATTATATGAAGATTTAACACTAAGAGAAGCTAAATCACTTGGTGCTGCAGCACGTCGTTCAATTGCAGCACGTGGTTCAATTGGAGCACGTGGTCAACGTTTATCGACCGTATCACATTTTTCTGAACGAACTCGTTTTCCTTCTCAAGTATCAACAACTATCCGAATTAATCAACCGGAACATCGTACTTTTCTTGATCATCTTTCAGGTTTAACTTGGGCATTTCTTGCAACTTATGCTTTTAGTCTTATTTTATTTCTAACTAAATTTTGTGAAATTGATCTTATTTTTGGTTTTTTTCTACAAATGTTTGTTCAAGTAATAGCATTTGGTATCTATGCTTTCTATAAAGACTATAATCTATTAGAATCAAATGGACATCCAATTGCATTGATTTGTCGTGCTTTATTAATTGGTATTGGTACACTTACTTCATTTCTTGCTTATTATTATATAATATTACCTAATCTTTCGGCTATTCGACAAACTCAAGTCATGTTTACTATAATTCTTTCAATATTTCTTCTTCATGGACGTATTACTATATCACGTATTATTGGTTGTATTTTGATGATTATTGCTATCATACTATTTATTCGACCAAATATATTTGGAATATCATTATCTTCATTATTTAATTTAACTGATGATAAAACTTCTTGGACTCCATATTCATCATCATGGAATTCTATTATTGGTATTAGTTTTGCTCTTTGTACGGCAATTCTTTATAGTATTGCATCAATAATAAATAAAATTTATTTTAATACTCAACAATTACATAATACTGTTTTATGTTTTTGGTCAGCATTATCAGCATTAGTTATATCAAGTATTCTTGTATATATTACTCATTTTGTTATAAATGATCGACGATCATTTCCTCATGATTGGAGATTATTTGTTGGTATTGCACTTGCATTAGCATCAATTTTTGTTTTTATTGCTAATCAAAAAGCTATTAAACGTGAACGTTCTTCAATAGTAACAATAATCTATTCAACAGATATTATACTTGCGTTAATCTTACAAAATATATTCACACATATTAAAAGTGATTTACTCGCTATTTGTGGTAGAGTTTTGTTTTTTATTATTTAGTATTTATTATTCAAATACGGATTTATCTTTTTTTTTTCAATTTTAATTAGGTTGTATATTGGTCTTGGTAGCTGTTTTGATAATTTGTATTGAAGTGTTATTAGTAGGAAAGCCTAAAGATAAATTGACAATTAAAGCAACACAAATAATGAATACAAATGAAGACGATAATAATTTACAAACGCCACCAATTTTAATCACACGACAAAAACGTTTATCTATCTAAATAATTTCTTAATCTCGATTTAATATTGAAGTGAACAAAAATTTAATTGAATTATTTTATTTAATATTTCGTTGCTATTGTTAGGTGCTACTTGCTTTTGGTTAAAAAATAAAATCAAATTTAATATGGATTAATTTAACAAGAATTATAGTATTTTTTATTTTCGATTTTTCTCAAAGTATAAGCAATCCATTATTAAAAAGTTGATAAGACAGATGGATGACATCAAATTTCAAATGAAAGAAACGATGTATCTTGCAATCTAGAGCAAAGATCTAAAATGATCAACTATTTCGAATAATCAAATATAATCAAAGAAATGTTCTCAATAGTTTTTCAATGTGTAAAACAAAATGATTAGAAATCGATTGAATGTATTCATAGGATAAAATAGAATTCTCGTTCAAAACTAATACAATGTTAATTGAAGACATAAAAATTTGCTACCAACTAAATTTAAAAAAAAAACCAGTAACAACCCATGGAATTCGATAGTTTACCACTTGATAACCAACAATTGAGAATAATAATACAAATTTTCCTCAGATCAATCGTTACTATTTACTGTAAAAATAAAATTTTAGTTCAATTGAATGTCCATACCATCATTAAATGCAAACACAATGAAAGAAAAAAAAAAAGCTTAATAATCGTTTTTTATGGATAAAACATTAAACGAAACTTAAACTATACGACGTTCAGACGGTATATATTTAGATGAAATAAGCACACAAAAACATTTTCAAACAATATACAAAAAAAAATATTTATTAAGATATTTTTGCTCGTTTACTAGCCGATAGATCAGGTCTAAAGTAAAAAAAAAATACAATCAAATAAATAATCATCTTCTACAACATAAAACTTACGAATTACTACCAGTTGGATCACCACCTTTTCGTTTACTTTCAATAATTTTTGATATTTGTTGCCATTCACGTTCTAATTTTTGTTTTTCATCTTTTGGTCCTACACCACGTCGTGTTTTACGTCCATCATTCATTTTAACACCATATTGAAATGCTGCTTTTGGCATTGCTTCTTTTTGACCCATATAATCTGAATATTCTTCTGCTGTATCAAAATCCCATCGACCAACAGGACCTTTTTTAGAACCCATATCCATTTTATCAAAATCTGGTTCATCATCAGAATCAATATTAACATCTTCTTCAGCCATTGTTCTATTCAAAACAAAAAAAAAAAAGAAATAAAAGAAAAGCAAACAGAATAATTTTCTTTTTTTTACCCAGGATAACATTCAGCATATGAATCATCACTAAATTTTAATTGAAAACCACTTTTACCTTTTTTATTTGAATTTGATGAACTAGTTCGTTCATCATCCTTTTATATCAAAAAAACAAAAACGAAAATATTTAATTAAAATAAAAACAAACAATCATAACATACATTTTTAACATTATATTTATGATGAACATTACGTATAAAATTTTTCACTACTTCAGTATTATTTGTATTACTTTGATCAATATCATCAATATTTGATTTTCGATCATTCTAAATAAATATTAATATAGATTATAATAATTAAAAATAAAGAATATTTACAGATTTTGAATCATTATGAAAATAAGTCTTCTTTCTTGTATCATTTTCATATTGATTTTTTTCACGTTCATTTATTATTGAACGTCGTTTTGCATCTGGAATATAATCACCAATATCATCATACATACTAATATCTTTAGCTTTTTTCGTTATGGTATTAATTGAATCATGTGTTGGTTTAATATTTATTTCTGATTCAAGTCCAGTAAATATTCCAGTACCTTTCTTTTTTTGTCGTTTTAAATCACGTTTTGAATGACGTAAATATGAAAGAATTTGAGTTAATTTATTTATAACAATATCATTATTACTCATTGTAGTTGTTGTCTAAAGATAAATATGAAGGTTCTTTTTTTTTTTTTTCTTAAAAATAAAAATGATTTAATATATACTTCTGCATTTGGACAATCAGCTTTTGATCTTATTAATGTTGTTGGTATATCATCAAGTGGATGTGTATTTTTTTCATTATCATCATCTTGTTGTCCATTAAGATTTTCTAAATCAATAATATATGCCATACGATGTGGTAAAAATAATTCATTAATACGACGTGGTGGAGGACGAAATAAAATTCGAAATATATTTTTAGCCATAGAAGATTTTATGCCTAATCTTTGTTCTTCTTCTTCTTCAGGTGTTAATGGTGTTGCAGGAGTTGTAGTTGTAGTTTCATTTGATAAATTTTTTTTCTTTTCAATATTTGTACCAGAACCGATTGGTGTACTAAAAAAACAAAAAAACATGGAAACGTGTAAATCTTATCTTTACATTTAGAACAAACTAATTTCTTAATTTCTATCGCTGAAAATCAGTTTGTTCTTCCTTAAAAAAAATTTCTTTTCATATCATATAAATCGCAAAACCCTATATGCAAAATCTATCAAATAAGCACTACCATCAAAATTTTTTTGTTTTTGACGGAAAAATATTATTATAAATAGCTAAAAACTCGAAGAATAGTCTTCAATTTTTGTTTTTAATTCGAATGTCTCGTATCTTTAATAATCTTATTTCAATTTGCATCCATTCGTTTTCCATGTAAAGCATCGTATGATTTACAATTGATTGTAAGAAGAATTAGATATAAAAGAAAATCAACGTTCGAAAGTATATATGACATAGAAAAAAAAAAGAAATCTATTTCTCTAGATTTTAAACTATTATATATTTACATTCTAGTTGATGATTTGACAAAAATATGTTCATCTTTATTTAAAGCTGTTTGATCATTATCAACATCGTCTTGTCCAATTTCAGCTCGTACCTAAAATTTAAAAAAAAATATATATATGAAAATAATTTTAAAAAAGAATATATATATATTCAAATACTTTTTGTAATAAAGCATAATCTAAACCTTTGACTAAATGTGTATGTTCTAAATCTCCACCCAAAAATTTTGATTCTTCAATTAATTGTTTTCTTCTTGCAGCAGCATCAAAATTTCCTTTAGCATCAGGTGCTACAGACTTATAATTTCCAGTTGTTGTTGCTTGTTGATTAGGATTTGTAGTTAAATCTATACCCAATTGATCGTCATTTGCTACTACTTCTCGTCGTTCACGTGCACGATCACGATATTTTTTAGCTCGTTCTTCTTCACGAGCTTTTTCTTCACGTATAACTTTAGCATAATATTGTTTCTTTTTTTTACGTTTATCACTTGCTTCACTACCACCTTCACCTCTATTGATATAAAATTAACAATTTGTTTATCGAAAACAAAAAAATAAAATAAAATAAAATACAAACTTATGACTACTAGAAGCTTTTTGTTGAGAAGTCGATGTTGATGAACCATGATAACGTTGTGTTGTTGTTGAACCAGGTGCAGCTGGTGTCATTAATAATCTTCGAAAATCATCATTTGTTAATGGATGACTACAAATAAGAAAATTAATTTGACAAATTTTGAATTAAATAAAACTTACCCTCCACCTGTTTCAACATCATCATGTGGCCGATAATTGGCCGGAGCCATCGGATTTGAATAATGTTCGTCTTTGAAAATAAAACTAAAGTTGAAGAAAATTTCTTTAAAAATATCAACGACTTACTTTCGGGCATTATTGAATCAAATCAATTAGTTGAATGAATTTCTAAATATGAACATAAGTTAGTTGGCATGAAAACAACAACGATGAATGGTTGATTTCGCAAGCCAATCTAAACATTTATCAAAAAATAAACGAAAAAAAAAGATATTTCTTTTAACTAAGAATTTATATTTTTCTTTAAAAAATTTTCAATAACTTTTATAACAATTTCGAAATATTATTTTTACATGCGACATCTATAGAGATAAATCTTTTATTATTTTTTTTTTCGTCATCATTTTTATATATAATTCATCTAGTCTATTACTTGTGAACATTTTCGTATTGATAAAGATATATTTATATTTATTTTAATATTTTCTTCGATTATTCATTAAATAAGAAAGTAAGTCAAAATGAATCATTCATATTTTTATGTTTTTCTTTCTCATAAAGGTACATTGATTATCAAAAAACATTAAAAAACATGGCTTCAGCTACTGCTTCTTCAAATTATACTGCATCTGCCGGAGTAACTTCTTCAAATTATCTAGCTACTTCTTCTATTAATAATAATGTGGTACCTAAATTTAACGAATATAGATCACGAGTATGTCAATTATTTCTTTATTTATCTAAAATAAATAAAAGTCATATTTAATTTTAGGTTTTGCTTGGTGATCTTCCAGAAGATTTTCTTCGTATACAATTTACACAAACACAAATCTATAATCCAACAGGACAAGGAATGAGACAAGGTTATTCACCTATACAATTTCAACAACAACAACTTTTTCAAAATCCAAATTTTCTTGGCTATTTTACATTAACAATTGCTGAAGTATTAATTTATTCTGATTTTTTATTTAATAATGAAAAAAATTTTATTTTTATTTATTTAGGCAAAATTAGTCAAAAATTCCGGTCTATTAGGTTTGATTAAAATGGATCCATATGTTAGTTTTCGAATTGGTCATGTAGCATATGATACACCAACAGCAACTGGTGGTGGAAAAAATCCTCAATGGAAAGCTTCATATCGCATGTAAAAAATTGATTTCAATGATTCTATGTTTGTTTGTTTTTCTTTTATTAACTTTTCTTTTTTGTTTATTTAGTAATTTATTCAAAGGAATGGATCGAATACATTTAGAAGTATATGATCAAGTAAATTTATTTATATCGGATATATGAATTTTTTTATGATTTATTCTCTCTTGATATTATAGCGTAATTTTACTGAAGATAGTTTTATTGGTGAATGTGAAATAGTGGTACCACATGAAGTAATGGAAGGTGAAACACGTCAAAGCTGGTATCCATTAATGGGAAGACAACCAAATGCAAATGAAATGCAAGGAGAAATTCTTATTATTATGAGTTTTATGGTAAATATTTTTCTAATAAAAATTAAGAGATATTTTTTAAATATAAAATTTTCATTAAATTTATTTTTATTCAAAATAATAATAATATTTATTATTATTAATATAGCCAAGAAATGATCAGATAATACATGATCTAAATGATCAGCATCAGAATGATTTTGTGCGTATTTCAATATTGTTTTTAGTCAATTTGTTTTTGTTCTGAATAAATTTTCATCAATTTCTCATTCTTAGTATTGTTTTTTTTTCTTATTTTTGTTATATTTATAGTCAATGCGTGCAACAAATCAACCTGGAATGGCAAGTTCAACTGATACACCTGTTACGAGCCCTGATGGAAATACAAATATACCGAGTGGTCAAACTGCATCTTCGTTACCAAACCAATCAGCTATGATGACTGAACAACAACAACAACAACAACCAATAGCAGAACATTCGCCATCAGCTGTGCCAAAACCGCCACCACCACCATATTCACTTGAAGATATACGAACAATTGAAGAAATGTTTCCTACAATTGATCGTCGTATTATAATTGATTTACTTGATCAACATCATGGAAATAAAGATCTTGTTGTCAATCATCTGTTACAAAATATTGCTTAATTATTTTTGTAATTTTTTTTTTCGTTTCTTTTAAAAATCAAGCATAAATCTTTATTTATGGATATGCATGTACATGTGCTTTCTTTGTTTCTTTCATTAATGCTTTTAACTAAAAGATGACATAAATATAAATATATATATATCCAATGTATCATCCGCGCTGTATCAATCATGCTAACATTTATTTTAGATAGATATATCTTATTTAAAAGAGAATTTGATGATAAATAATAATCAGAATAATAATACTTATGAGGATATTCAACTAATTGAATTGAAATTTTGGCGCAAAGTTAAACAAAATCATGTGGTACCAATTGGTTTCCTTTTCTGTTTTTTTTTTATATATGAAAATATAAATATTTAATTTTTTTATTCAAGGTATGATAGAATTCGGTTTAATTGCACATGCAGTTATTATTGATTACGAAACAAATCAATATCTAATGTTCACGTCAGAATTAGAGAGAGAGAGATAGGTGCAAGTTCAATAAATTGACAACAGCAACAGCTAGTGACCTGAGATCGGGTTTCAGCAATTCAAAGGAAAGAACGTCGAACATCTTTTTATCTGAATACTATAAAACATGGAACAAAATGCATGAAAATGGTGTTCCGTTTCGATATAATTTTGATTTTGACATGTACCTCAAATAGATAGACTTCAGATCTATAATTCAAGAAACGATTTAGGTGATTATCTTCTCATATCTCAAGCTTGACCAAACAAAATAGCCTATCTATTTGGTCAAGTAATATAGAATTCTGTTGATTTTTAGAAAATTTTCTAATTTTTTATCCCAGTGTCTTTGAAACGAAACTCTGCTTTCATATATTTTTTTGAATATTTTATTAAAATAATAGGTTTTAAAAATAATTTTGTTTTATCTTATATCAGACAAAACGACGTCCGGAGTTCTTCACTTTCAATTGCTGAAAATTGTAGATCACTAACTATTGCTGTTATCGACGTATTAAGAATATATTCGTCACTGTTTAGTTCTGGCGCGAACATTATTTATTAATCACAATTCAAAACAAAAAATGATAACACATTACACAGAATGATTTGTTTTTTTAGGATTTGAACTCGTGTTTGTGTACAAGGTTTCATTGTATTTTTACTTACAACTACTTCAGTCTATGAATTAATGAAAGGTAGATCACATCTTCAAAATATACATGATTACAAAAGAATTGAATATGAAAGAACATTGTCGTCGAATCACCTATAATCAGAAACAAAAATATTTCTATAAATTGAACTAATTCAAAAGTATTCATTGCTATTTTATTTAGTTTATTGTTTTATTCATCATGAGAAATATGTTTCTCTAATGTTCTATTTTTTGTTGATATTGATAAAAAAAAAATCAAATCAATTATTTAATATTATGTTAATTAAATAGATAGTATCAATTTAATGAACATCTTTTTTCATAGATTTTCAATAAAGAAAAAAAAACCGATAATTTTATTCTTATATAATTACTCATTTAGATTAATTTATTTGTTTAGATATTCTATTTATTTTATTTGTTTGTTTCCAGATCGCTTGTCTTTCTTTATCTTTAGGCAGTATGAACAGTACTTCACCATCGTCATCATCATCATCATCATCACATCGCTATAATCGTAAAAAGCTTGCATTATCTAATAGTGGTCGTACACGATTTTCTCCGCCAGGATCTTCACGTTCAATAAATAATATTAATTATCTTAAATCTGGTCCAAATCCAGTTGCTTTACATAATTTACTTAAATTAAATCAACTTGTTGATACTTTAAAATCATTAAAACGTCTCATATCACATTATTTTAATCAAATATCAAAACAAGGTGAATCTATATTAGCTGGTGATGTTCGTCGTGTATATCGTCGTATATTATTACTTTATGTTAAATATCGTCGACGACAAAATTATGAAAAACGTCGTATGAAACAACCAATTGATGAATCCGATGATGATGAAGATGACGATAATGATAATAATAATAATAGTAATAATGAAACAAATCATATAAATATTTCACCAACATGGACAATGAAAAAAATAGTTAGTTCACAAAGTTTACCATTTACACGTGCTGGTTTTGATGCTGATCATGATGGTATTGAAGATTTTGATGAAATAGCATTAGCTGCAACACGTGATGTTGCTAATATACAAAATCATTGTGTTCGATTAATTCTTAATGATTATCAAATGAAATTACCGATTTATGGTTTACAAACACGATGGGATAGTGAAATACCAAAACAACGAAAACAAATGGAATCATCAATAAATTCAACTGTTAATAATCGAGTTGAAATTATTAAAAAGACAGGAATCAAATCATCTAATATTTTACCATTAACATCTTCTTATCCTACTTCTCTTTCTACACTTCCAGTATCAACACCACCAACTACAAGTGATCAAGAATTATTTTTAGGTTCACTTGCTCGTCAATTAAATGAACAAACATGGCAACAACTTCGTTCAATTTTAGCTAATCTAAATTCTCAAACGTCATCATCATCAATTAATTCTCAAGAACAGTTTACAAAATAAAATAAACATTGTATAGTTCTTTCAAAAATTTATTTGCGTGAATTTCATTGCATAAAAAAAAAGGATGTGATATATATATATATATCGTTTAGGTAGATATTTTCTTTCGTGCTAATAAATGGTTCTATGCGAGATGATTTTTGTGTTTTTTTTAAATAGGTTTGTCTTTCGTGTGTTTTCTTTTTCTGGATTGTAAATCAGATTAATTCAGATGTAAAACTTGATTGTTTGAACAACAATAAAACAGAATACGTCTTTCGTATTCGATGAATATATATCGATAGTGTGATCAAAATACTAAAACATTGTATCTTGCCTTGAAGATTATAAAGATTATTTAATAATCATTTTTCGACCAAATTCTTGAAACAATACATTTGGTTTATTACTTCGTCGTTAATAAGGCTGAAAAAGAAAAAAGTATGTTTCTTGTAAAGATATGAGTCAGATTTTGCGTCGATTATTATTATTATTATTATTATTATCACATTTTTGCTTGATACTTATTTAATGCGTTCTTTACTTCTACAAATATAAAACAAGTTTTGTTAAAATCCAAAATGCCAAAACGAACTAATGAATTATATCAATTCAATATCGATAAAAAAAGGTCTGTCAATACTTTTTCTTTCATATAAATAACAATAGTTTGTTATCAAATAGAATAAAATATGTTAATCACATCTCAACATTTGAAACGATGTCAAATGAATTAATTATGGAATTATTTGAATATTTTGATTTATATTCACTTTATTTAACATTTTATTCTCTTAATTCTCGTTTTAATTCAATTATTTGTTATTGTCAAGTACATGTTAATCTTGATAAAATTGATCCATTATATTTTACGTCATTTATTGGAAATTTTATATATTCTAATATTGATAAAGGTCGAATATGTTCACTTCAATCTTCAATGTCACATCAAATAACTGTTTTAGTAAATGATATAGTAAGTTACTTTTATATCACAAAAAGATTTTTTTTTGTTTTTGTATTTATCAATATAGGTTATGGATCGTTTTATTTTACTTCGATCATTAACTTTAGCTCGTTGTTCTATTGATTTAGTTATACAAATTCTTAATCGAATTGAAAAATCTACATTAGAAAGAATTTCAATAACATCTTGTAAAAGATTTATAGGTAGAAAATATTCATTAACACAACATTTATTATCAGCTGAACGTCATCCATCATTACGTTCAATTAATCTTAGATTATGTGCTCGTGGACTTGTTTCTTTAACTGATGTTGAAATAACAACTCAAACATTAAATCGATTAGAATATTTATCATTAGATAAACCTTCTGAAATTGAAGATTTATTACATATACTTGATCTTTTACCTAATCTTCAATCATTAAATAGTATAATAAATAATCTAACTGATCCTTTTTTACTATCAATACAAGTAAAACAATGTTTATTATTATCACGACTTACATTAACTTCAAGTATAATTCAAATATCAACATTAGAATATTTATTAAAAATTTTTCCAAATATAATGTATCTTTATCTTGATTTTTCTTCAAGATCATCAAAATTAATTGATTCACAATATTGGATAGATTTATTTGAGAAAATGCATCTATTAAGACGTGTATATATTCGAATTAGTATTCCATTATTTCAAACAACTTTATCTCATGAACAAGTACGTGATCGTGTCAAATTATTTAAACGACCATGGTTTTTTACACGAAATTTAATTAATCGAATGCATACTATTCGTATTATTATTAATGGAATAAAATAAAATAAACAAATAAAATATCAATCAATGATATTGAAACTTTTTAGTACATAAATATGACACGAAAAAATAACAATAGTTTTGAGTAGTATATTTTATTATACTTCGTGCCCCCTTTTATTGTACAACAAAAGTTTCCTAACACGTCATTATATATTAAGCAAAATATATGATGTATAGTTCAATTTTTGCTTAATTCAATCATAAAATTGACTTTATTCAATAAAAATGTTCGAATTATTTTTTAGTTCTACATAAGAAGTGAGTAGTCAAGAACAGCTCACAATACATTTAGATTTGTTTATCAAATTCTTCTAAGTTAAATTATACTTGAAAAGAATAATTTTAAGTAGGGTTCAACTGGAAATATCTGTACAAAAAAATCATCATAGCACATATTTTCTCAAAAAACTTCACTGTATATTTTGTTGTAGAATTTGACTATTTTCTGAACAGTTAACGTTTGAGGGTTGAAATTTTTGTTGGTTATATAACTTTTTAAGTTATATCTAACGTAAAAATTTGAATGTAACAAGAATAACTATATGTAAGTTATCGACTAACCTACTTTCAAAATGTTACAGTTTTTTGAGTACTCCAATCGTTGTTTTCTCCAATATAGAAATAAGAAAATGTAAACATTTTCATATCAAAAAGGCATTTAAAAAGTTCTCTATTATTTGATCTATTATTTTCTATTCAAATGTTTCTTCGTCTTCAAGAGTAATGGTTTTTTTTTGTCGGATCTACGAAAATTGGTCGAAGTGAATATAGATCGAAAATTTTATAATGAAAGAAGAAAAGCTTTTTCTCGAACAGAAGCTCGAACTTTCCAGTGTCAAGACGAAATTGTCATAGATTGCATTAATACAATGATGTTATAGGAAACTAATGATTTAGACAAATAAGTTAAACAAATAAAAAAAAAGAATAGGAGTTTAGAAATTATGAGCAAGTCCTTTTAATTGCTGTAGTATCGTTGTCTGTCTGAGAATGTCACTAAAATCTCGTCCTCATCCTCACACATACTTTCATCGGCAAGATAGCCAACATTACTACAATAGTTAGAAGGACTTACTCATAGTTTCTAAACTGCTATTCTTTTTTTTATTTGTCTAACTTATTTGTCTGAATTATTAGTTTCCTATAATATCATTGTATTAATGCAATCAGTATCAATTTCGTCTTGACACCGAAGGGCTCGAGCTTCTGTTCAAGAAAAAGCTTTTCTTCTTTTATTACAAAATTTTCGATCAATATTCACTTCGACCAATTTTCGCTTTCCTTTTTTGTCATTGTACATAAAAAAGAAAAGAAGCCGGTCATCGAATGTCGCAAGCAGAAGTCGCGAACGGAAAAATGTATAGATCAATGAATCACATGTTTCGATAGACTATTATCCAAGCTACAAAATGATTCATTTCCTTTTCCTTTTCTATTTCTTTCTTGTCTCCAATAATTATTTCCTTTGCACATGTTTCGCTAGAACCTATGCCCTTTTTTTCAACTGTAAACCCTATGACTTAGAAACGATACAACTTCGAATCATGAAATTTTATGTGGTTATGGAAGGCTAAGAAAGAAATTGAATTAAAAAACTAATTTAAAATCGTTCAATAAGAACGAAAAGTTATAACTTCAATTCTCTAAAACATCAATTGTACAAAAAACAGTTGCAATTCACTCAAATATTTTTGTATATTTGAAAATAATCAATTTCTTATGTTTTTTTTTGTAAATATAATTTATATAATTTATTTTTACTGTAGAGGCTTTTCAATGTAAAATAATTTTTGTCATAACAACCTGCCACAAAAAAACATACTATTGTTGTTTATCTTTTTAATTTACGCACAAAAATAAGTACAATTATTTTATGCTACGTCTAAGACAGAGAGTACATTCATAGGCTTAATTTTTGGCCAGTTAAATTTATAAGTCAAACAAATCAAATCGATTTAAATTTCAATCAATTGTGTTTTACTGTTAAATTATAATATGAACAATAAAAAAAAAGATTTTACATTAATATTGTCGTGTAATCTCATTATTAATAGAACGTATTCTTCAATGGGTGTTAGCCTATCACGTTAAACAATAGTATTAATCAGCGGCTGCAATATAAATCAAACAAAGTATACATTAAAATCATCAATCAACTCGATGACTTTTGAGCGATCAGAAAAAATAAAATCAATCACTTTTAAACTACTAAATTCATTCACTATACTATTTCAAAAAGACGCGTCCTGTGCATAACGTTTGACGAAAGTTCTGAAGAAACAGCATCTGTGTAAATTTAAATTTATACACATTTTGCAAATTTTCTACATTTAGTTTTTTTTTTATTCAATATCATGCACAAGTGTTTATCATAAAGTAAAACATAAAGAAATATCTGACGGATTCTACACTTTCAAAGTTTAATCGTTTCCAATTCCGACATTTTCTTTCATTCTGCACAAATGCAAGAAAATCTCGATTTCTCTCTCACTCTCTCTTGCGTTCTGCTTTAGATAATCAGCTACACACAAATTCTAACTTCATTAGTTCAGTGCGAAAAAATAGATTTTCTCAGAAAGAAATACATTCACTTGCTTGAATGCACATATGACATATATTATGTAGAGGAAGACGACAGAATGCAAAATTTCTCTTGTACGTTTTGCGTGTCATCTACGAGATGACATGCAGGATTCAAAGGGTTAGTGTATTATATTAAATCATAAATTTAAAATATGAAATTCTTTATTAAATAATATCAGATCACATTTGTCTACAGAGTTTATAAAACATGAGCAGTACTTGATATAAAAATATTCTTCGCCATATATAAACTATAGAAAAACATCGTACAAATAAACACAATAGAATTATTTTGAGTCAACCGTACGAATAGTATTCAACAACCACATATTTCTTGAAAATCAAAGAAATAATCTTCTTCAATTGAATCCAACATATTTAATTTTCATTTGTTCGTTCTTTGAGTTATGTTTCATTTAAAATCATTTTGTGCAGTTGTCGAAGTATCTGCATCTGTTACAAAGTCATCCCATGGTTGTGCATTATCTTGATATATAATTGAAGTCAAATTTGATTTTGTTTTTCGTTGTCCCATGTTGTTATTAATCTATGTGTGTGTACGTTTGTCATTTGTCTTATGCAAGTTGTTTTCGATATTGTCACATGCTTTTGTAGTCGACAAAAACATGTTATTTAGTTCGCCTTTCTCTT